TGTTGCTGTCCAGTTCTCCCAGCACCATTTGTTAAAGAGACTGTCTTCTTTCCATTGGATGTTCTTTCCTGCTTTGTCAAAGATTAGTCAGCAACCTGTTTTCTTCTAAAGGTGACCTTCGCCTTGGTTTTTCCACGTAAATCTACAATCCGATTTTTAAGGGACGTTGAAAATCTTGAAGGATTGTGTCCATGAGTCAAAAATAGGTTTTTTCCTCCAAGGCTTCCGGTCGCAGAGCACATTACTGAGAAGGTCCTGCACCCCCTTCGTCTGAATTCGTGTCAGAATAAGAAGACGCAGATCTGTCCGTCTGTATCGGGACTTGTTTCCGTTCCCATTCCAAAGCAAGAGAATTCAGTCCTACTTACCCAGTAGGCAACAAAGTGAGCTGCCCCACTGGCCACAAGCCCAGAATCACTGCCCACGTGCCCAGCTTCCTCGTCTGTCCCGCCCTCCGGGAACATTTCCCTAAAATGTCCAGTCTGGGTCTCTTTTTAGGTTTCCTTTTTGGAGATTTTTCCTAGGTCTGTATGCTCAAAGAATGGGCTTATTGCCAGTAGTCGCGGGTATGTTATGGGGTGCATGCATGTGCCCGTGTCTGGCATGTTTTGGCTTGGACATAGCAAGATAATTTTTAAAATTTTTTTTTAATGTTTATTTATTTTTGAGACAGACACAGAGTATGGAGAGAGAGGGAGACACAGACTTGGAAGCAGGCTCCAGGCTCTGAGCTGTCAGTACAGGGCCCGACGCGGGGCTCGAACTCATCAACCGCAAGATCGTGACCTGAGCCGAAGTCGGAAGCTCAACCGACTGAGCCACCCAGGTGCCCCATAGTAAGATAATTTGAGTACACCGGGTGCGCAGCCCTGAGGGGCTCGTGATCTAGCACGCGTGCATGTGAATCATGTATCTCTACCTATTCCTTCTGTCAGAAAGACCAGTTTAGCTTTGTCTCTGCTGCTCTTACGTTTTAGAAATTTTAGCTCTTGGGGCACCTGGGTGGCTCAGGCAGTTAAGCGTCCGACTCTTGATTTCGACTCGGGTCACGATCTCGTGGTTTCGTGAGTTCAAGCCCCGCATCAGGCTCTGCGCTGGTTAGCGGATCCTGCTTGGGATTCTGTTTCTGTCTGTCTGTCTGTCTGTCTCTCTCTCTCTGCCCCTCCCCCACTTGCACTGTCCCTGTCTCTCTCAAAAGAAATAAACTTAAAAAAAAAACACAAATTTTAGCTCTTGAAGGAAGACCTTCAGAGTCCTTGGAAGTTCTCTTTTCTGGGGTGCTCATTTCACAGCTGACACGGAGGCACAGAAGGAGGTGAGGCTCTTCTCACGCCACCACCCTGCACCCCCCAGGTGCCAACAGCCTCCATTTGTATCCGTTCCGTCCCTAACCGCCATCCTAGAGTTGCTGGGTCTCTGCGGTCTGGGAGGAAGGGGGTCGATCTGTCTTTTCATCTTGCGGTCATGGGACCCCACTCTTTTCGGTGTTCTCACACCCCGATGCACAGTGCCAGGGGGACTCAGCCCCACGGTCAAGCGGTGGCGCTCGTGTCCCCGCACTGATGCGCCTCGTCAGGGCTGATCCTCAGGGAAGCAGCATCCTTCCTGGAGAAGCCACTCCATCGGGCAGGTCTGCAAAGCCTTTCATGGCCCCGACCTTCTGCCCGACGGCCGGGCAGTCTGTCCAGGCTTCGCAAGCTCCGGAGAGCCTCGCCTCCTGACCCGCTTTGTTCTGGCAGCTTGCGGACCACCGGGAAGAGTTCAGCAAGTGGTGGCTCGCGCATTTCAAGACAGTCAAGTTTCCCTCCCAGGGAACCGTCTTTGACTACTACATAGACCCGGAGACCAAGAAATTCGAGCCCTGGTCCAAGCTCATCCCCCAGTTTGAATTCGACCCCGAGATGCCTCTGCAGGTGAGTGTGGCCGAGTGACCAAGGATGTCTGCTCGTGCCAAGGATCCGTAGCGGTCCTAGTCACAGCCCGTTATTGGCCCTCAAGTGTTTTAACCTTGCTGGCAACCAGTCATGCCCAGCGACGTGCTTTTCCAGAGGAGACTCTCGGTGCAGGGAAGCCACAGAAACCCCGCAAAGACTAGCTAACTTGATTCGCAGACTCCAGCAGCATCCTGGGGGCAGAAGGTTCTAAAGCGCGTTAGAGAGGCCACAGGGAGGCAGACGGAGCTGGCCGAGGAGGGAGGGGATCTCTCCACCCCGAGAATGAACTCCCGGAGTGGTGTTAGCGTGCATGCGAAGGAAGGCGCCCCTGCCCCAGGTAGTCAGCCAGCGCCCCCTTGCCAGGGGGAGACCCTCTTCTGAAATGTTCCGGAACGTTCCGCCCTGCATCTGTTTCTCCCACGAGCCTGCCCATCGTGTCCTCCCCGCAGGCTTGCCTGGTGCCCACGGGCGAGACCGTCCGAGTGTGCTACTTCCTGGAGCGGCTCCTGGAGCGGCAGCGGCCGGTCATGCTGGTGGGGACCGCGGGGGTCGGCAAGTCGGTCCTGGTGGGAACCAAGCTGGCCAGCCTCGACACCGAGGAGTACCTGGTGCAAAACGTGCCGTTCAACTACTATACCACGTCGGCGATGCTGCAAGGTGAGGGCCGGAGCGCGTGGAGGGTGGTGTGGGGGCGTCTGAGTGGCCACGTGCCCCGACATGGAGCCGGGGCAAAGCATCAGGCACCTGTTGGGGTTCCCCCGTGCCCCCCCCACCCGTCTCCTACATTCCTCCCGTGCCGGGAGTCGAACACAGAGAGGTTCAGCACCTTAACGCCAAAGAAAGTGGGCACACGCAGAAGCATTTCCGTAGGCTTGTAGACTGCTGGCACGGGAAGTGTCTCTAGAGAGCATTTCCTTCCCGTCTCGCCTCCCCGTATCTCCTAGATGGGGAAACTGAGGCTCGGGTAGAAGCGCGCGATTGCCCAAGGTCCCCGTTAAGCAGCAAGGCTGGCATAGCACATCCGGGCTTCTGAGCACATAGAACGTGCTTCTCACCGGGAGCTGACACGCCGGGCTGCCGAGTGGGCACGGGTCCTCCAGGTGTGGCTTCAGGGTCAGAGGCTCGCTGCAGGAACGTCCCCCTCGCCAGAGGCACTTTCTCCTTGACCCTCACTTACAACAGGGTCTCCTCGTATAGAGAAACACTCATCACATGAACCCTGGAAGAAGCTTCCTTTTGACGAAGCCCCCGAGCCAAGCTCCTGGCCAGAGGAGGGCGGTGGCAAGGCTGGGGAGAACCCAGCTCTTCCCCCTGATGCTGTAACTGGGCTGTGCTTCCCACGTGAGACCCCGGTGCACGCCCGCACGTGGAATGCCACGCACTGGGCTGTTTGCACGCTGGCCAGTTGCAGGCCGTCACTCAGTACACGAGGACGAGCCCAACACTCTCCCTGTCCGACATCCAGGCCAGCAGACTTGCAAACCAGGCTTTACTCTGACCACCTCTTGCCCAGCCTGGACCCGTTTCACTCACCCAGTGCTTCCGTGGCCCCTCCCAGCGGGATCCCCAGAGTCAGCCAGTGTGGTCTTGGCGGGGTTCCGCGTCCACAGCTCCCACGTGGAGAACAGCTCGCCTCCCTCCTTCCTCCTGACCATCCCACCGGGTCTTCCGAGGCCCGGGGCCCAGCCAGCTCCGCGTGCTGTCGGGGGCACCAGTGTCTGCTCCCTGCCTCTCAGAGCAGTTAGGCACCCGCACGCCTGCACCTGTCACCCCTCGGTGACAGGCCCTCCTCCGCCTCTTTGTCAAGCGAGCCTCGGGGCTCCACCCCCTGCTGGGCTCATGAATGCTGCCCAGGGTCCGTCGCGACCCTAGTGCCCACGTGAACCTGAACAAGTAAGACAACACGAAATGAGGAAGGCTCGTGGCACAGATTCACTAGTGGGTCGGTGACGTGAGCGTCTTTGAACAGCCAAAGAACACTTGGGTTTTCTTTGTTGCTGTCGTCCCTGTAAATGGCTGCGGGCATGATGCGCTTTGAAGTTTCATCTGCACGATTAACGCTTTTTTTTCTCCGGCACCTTGTGAGAACTGCACAAGCACCCAGACAAACCTATCCGTTTCTGTGGTGGAAATACTCCCACCTTTGTGGTGGTGACCCTCCATGGTATTTCCACTTCCCAGGCAGAGTGGGTAACAATCATTCAGATATGATGAGTTTTGAATAGCCTTACCTTTGTTTTTTTGTAATACAATTTAATTAGTTGTAAGCTTATTTATTTTTTAATTTTTTTTTTTTTTTTTGAGACACAGAGACAGAGAAACAGAGTGCGAGTGGAGGAGGGACAGAGAGGGGAGGGAGACACAGAATAATCCAAAGCAGGGTCCAGGCTCCGAGCTGTCATCACAGAGCCCGATGCAGTGCTCGAACTCACAGACCGGACTGTGAGATCACGGCCTGAGCTGAAGTCAGACGCTCAACCGACTGAGCCACCCAGGCACCCCTAATTTATATATATTTTTTTTATTAGAGAGTGTGTGCACACGAACAGGGGAGAGGGTCGGAGGGAGGGAGGGAGGGAGGGAGGGAGAGAGAGAGAGAGAGAGAGAGAGAGAGAGAGAGAATCTCAAGCAGGCTTTGTGCTCAGCATGGAGCCCAACACAGGGCTCAATCCCATGACCCTGGGATCATGACCTGAGCCAAAAATCAAGAGTCAGACGCTCAACTGACTGAGCCACCCACGTGCCTCATTATCTAATTTATTGTTTAAATAACGGCTGTGCTTAATAGTCCAGCTTGCAGAATACCCTCAGTGTTAACCATGGGCTCTCACTCGCTTCATCTCTCTTCCGTGAGACCTCGGCCACCATCATGGTATGCTGTGTTGTGGCCTTGCATCGTGGCCTGACATTGCCACGTTAATGCCCGGCGGTGGTCGTAAGCGGACTTCACGTGCCTGTCTGGCTCACTTGTTGACCCCGTTTGCTCCTGGGAGAATATACCTGCCCTTATTTGCAAGCCTGGAGTCCAGTGACCGACCAGATTATGAGCTCTGCCCATTTGCTCTGATTCTTAAATCTATGATCAGTAGGCTAATATCAACAAGTGACATTTATCAAACATTCATCAAGTATGTGTCAGGTGCCAACCTGAGATTGGAAGCTGACCTGTTTTTATTTATTTATTTTGCGTAATTTTTTTTAAAGTTGATGTATTTTTGAGAGAGAGCGCGCACATGCAAGCAGGGGAGGGGCAGAGAGAGAGTGAAAGAGAGAGAATCCCAAGCAGGCTCCACACTGTCTGCGTGGAGCCTGACGCGGGGCTCGAACTCATGAGCCGTGAGATCATGACCTGAGCCGAAACCGACAGCCGGGCAGTTAACCGACTGAGCCACCCAGGTGCCCCGGAAGTTGACATGTTTTTAAATCATTTCATCATTTACAGCCCCATAAAGTAAGTCCTTGTATGGTCCCTGTGTTGTAGATGAGAAAGTCAAGGCAGAGGAGTTAAATAAGCTCTCCGAGGCCATGCCGAGAGTGATGATGGAGCCAGGGTTTGAACCCAGACAGAGTCTGTGCTCTTTTTTTGTTGTTGTTTATTTATTTTTGAGACAGAGAAGGTGCCCGGGAGGGGCAGAGAGAGAGGGAGAGAGACAATCCCAAGCAGGCTCCATGCTGTGATTGAGGACCCCGACACGGAGCTCTAACTCATGAACCGTGAGATCATGACCTGACTCAAAGTCAAAAGTTCAACCAACCTAGCCACCCAGGCGCCCCCAGAGCCTTGCCCTTAACGACAAGGTTACATTGCCTCCCTGGTAGGAAAATACCACAAAAACTGTAATAAATATTTGCTGTTATTACTATTACCGTTCGTGGTATCATTCGAGTATTCTAGAGGAGTTGTTCGCTAGAATCCTATTGTCAGGTTTCTGCATGTAAGCAAACACTTTAAATAGTAAAAATTCATAACCAAGGAAAGGGAGACGAGCTGTTTGCTCTTCTCCCGGGTCCTCTCGCCCGGACCTCTCCGTCTTCTCCTGGGTCCCCAACCTGGAGGATTTTCTCCTCCTGTCCTGGTGAAACACAGAGAATTGTTCAGAAGAGTCAGCCTGCTGTCAGATGGGGCCAGGATAACACCGGCCGTCACTGCAGCTGGACACAACACTCCTGTGTCCCGTTAGCTCCCTAGTGGCCTCTTGGTCCCTTCCACCCTCCACACTAGAGGTGGGTGAAGCTTCTGCTGTCCAGAAGCAGCCAGGAACTTGGGACTAACCCAGAGCCCAAGAGGAGCAGCATAAAGGCCACAAAGTCCACGCAGCAGAGCTCATACCCGTGACTCTGGAAAAAAAAAAGAAAATGCTGAACTCCCTTCCGTGGAGCCTCTCCAAACAACTTTGTTTGTTTGGCCTCTCAGCCTAAAACGTGTTAGAAGCAACAAAACGGCGGGAGAAAGGATGCTGATGACGCTTAGGAACAGGGGAGCCAGGAACCTGGTATCCCAGAGGGCAGAGAACATTTCAAAAAAGGAGATTCTCAAAGGGCAGCTACCCCGGTCTCGGACAAGAGGCAGACTCTCCCACGCACATCCTGAGCCCAACGCTCTTTCTGCGGCCGAGTGCCTCTGTCGCCTTTTGTGCCTAAGAGCCTGCGTCATTACGAACAGATCCAGTGTGCTGTGGTGTATGGTCTGCTTCCCGGGGCAGGTAGTACACCCAGACAGGTGTGCAAGATGTGTGTGGGGCCACTTCAGACCCGTTATAAACACACATCAAGCCCCACATCAGGCTCTGCACTCATAATGCAAAGCCTGCTTGGGATTTTCTCTCTCTCCCTGCCCCTCCTGTACTGATGTGGGAAGTAGCCTAATTATCCACGAGATGGAGTGCTGAGCATCATTATGACACGTGAGGACGTTTCTGTATGAACGGGGTTGGAAGTACTTCCAAAGCTTTGTTGAACGGGAAAAGGAAGATACGGAACAGGGTAGATCACGCTCCAAAATGTGTCTTGTTTAAAAAGAGGTGTATACTGGGGCGCCTGGGTGGTTCAGTCGATCAAGCGTCCGACTTTGGCTCAGGTCATGATCTCATGGTTCGTGAGTTCGAGCCCCGTGTCGGGCTCTATGCTGACAGCTCAGAACCTGGAGCCTGCTTCGGATTCTGTGTCCCTCTCTCTCTCTGCCCCTTCCCCGCTAGTTCATATTCTCTCTCTCTCTCTCTCTCTCTCTCTCTCTCTCTCTCTCTCTCTCTCAAAAATAAATAAACATGGGCGGCTCAAAGTTAAGTGTCCGACTCTCAATTTCAGCTCAGGTCACGATCTCAGTTTCATGAGTTCAAGCCCCACATCAGGCTCTGCACTCATAATGCAAAGCCTGCTTGGGATTTTCTCTCTCTCTCTCTCTCTCTGCCCCTCCTGTACTCACACTGTCTCTGTCTCCCTCAAAATAAACAAACTGGGGTGCCTGGTGGCTCAGTCGGTTGGGCGTCCGACTTCAGCTCAGGTCATGGTCTCAAGGTTTGTGAGTTCGAGCCCCGCATCAGGCTCTGTGCTCACAGCTCGGAGCCTGGAACCTGCTTCGGATTCTGTGTCTTCTCCTCTCTCCACCCCTCCCTTGCTCATGTTCTGTCTCTATCTCTCAATAATGAATAAATGTTAAAAAAATAAAAAATAAAAAATTAATATAAAAATTCTTTTAATTAAAAAGATATGAAAGTATACATATATATACACTCACATACCTATGCTTATATACACTTAGAATATTTCAAGAAGTACACACAACTGATAACAGCAGGTGCCCCTGTCAAGGAGAACTAGACGCTAAGAAGGAGCGATGGAGAACTGCTTAAACTTTTTAGAAATTATGAAATAACTCAAGCCTGCAGGGAAGGACAGAAAATAATGTAACAGATGCCCATGTACCCACCACCCAGATTTCACAGATGTTAAAATTGTGTCATTTTGCTACGAATCTCAGCAGTAAGTACAGCCAGCACACCACCCCCACCCGCCTTCCGGCCCCTCATCGACCAAGTACTAAAGTTGATTGTGTATCATTCTGAATCTACACCTTCTCTTAGGTTTTTAAGTTCCAGCCACCACGCGGTATAATAATAGTTCCAAGCGCCCGATAGGGTGATTCCACTCTTCCGTACAACACCCGGTGCTCAATACAAGTGCCCTCCTTAATCCCCATCTCCTCTTTCCCCCCATCCCCCCCCTCCTCCCGCCTGGCGACCCTCGGTGTGTTCTCTGCGGTTAAGAGTCTGTTTCTGGGTTTGTGTCTCCTCCTTTTCCCCCTGGCTCCCTTGCTTTGTTTCTTAAATTCCACCTGTGCGTGAAACCAGATGGTGTTTGTCTTTCTCCGACCTACCTCGTTTAGCATCATGCTACCTGGTTCCGTCCGTGTTGTTGCAAGTGGCAACATTTCACTCTTTTTTATGGCTGAGTGATACTCCGTTGTGTGTATATACCGCCTCTGTATCCATTCGTCCCTCCACGGACACTTGGGCTGTTTCCACCGTGTAGCTACTGTGTAGATAGTGCTGCTATAAACATTGGGCTGCATATGTCCCTTTGAATTAGTACTCTTTGTATTCTTCAGATAAACACCTAGTAGTGCGGTTGCTAGATCGTAGGATATTTCTGCCTTTAACTTTCTGAGGCACCTCCATACCGTTTTCCAGGGTGGCTGCACCATTTTGCATTCGCACCAACAGTGCAAGAGGGTTCCCTGTGTCCGCATCCCATAAACACCTGTTGTTCCTTGTGTTGTTGATGTTACCCTTCTGACAGGTGTGAGGCGATACTGTGGTTTTGGTTTGTGTTTCCCTGGTGACCCGTGATGTTTCGCAAAATGGATTAAAGACCCAAGTGTGAGACCCGAAACCATCAAAATCCTGGGGGAGAACACAGACAGTGACCTCTTTGACATCGGCCATAGCAAGTTCTTTCTAGATGCGTCTCCTGAGGCAAGGGAGACAAAAGTAAAAATAACCTATTGGGACTTCGTCAAAGTAAAAAGCTTCTGCACAGCGAAGGAAACAATCAACAAAACTAAAAGGCAGCCTACTGAATTGGAGAAGGTATTTGCAAAGGACATATCCAATAAAGGGTTGGGGTCCAAAATATTTAAAGAACTTACAGAACTCAACACCTAAAAAAAACCCAAATAATCCAGTACAAAGTGGGCAGAAGACACGAATAGACATTTTTCCAAAGACATCCAGATGGCCAACAGACACACGAAAAGATGCAAACTTACAATTTTAATATATACATGTACCCATAAAAATACACAATGTTGTGTTGTATTTACATTTTAAATATGTGATCATACTGGAAGTTCCTTTGAGAACTTACTTTTTTAATCATTATCTGTTTTGATGCATGTAGATCTATTTCATTGGTTTTCACTGCTGCATAGAATTCCATTGTAGGAATAAACCGCAGCCCGTTTATCCACATTCCTACTAAAGGCGGTATAATTTTTTTTTTTTTGCCATTTCCCCTTTAAAAATGCATTGTTGGGTTATAATTGACATATAACACATATGGCACATATTAAAGTATAACAATTTGAGGGGCGCCTCAGTGGTTCAGTCAGTTAAGCCTCCGACTCTTGATTTCGGCTCAGGTCATGAGCTCACGGTCCGTGGGTTCAAGCCCTGCATCGGGCTCTGTGCTGACCGCACAGGGTCTGCTTGGGATTCTGTCTCCCTCTCTCTGTCCCTCTCGTGCTCGCACACTCACTCTCCCTCTCTCAAAAACAGACATTTAAAAATAATACTAAAGTATACAATTTGAGAAGTTTTGAGATACTTACACACCCCCGACACCATGACTATGGTTGAAATAATGAGCATATCCATCACCTCTGGAAGTTTCTGGTGTTCTTGGGCAATCCCTCCCTCCCTCCCTTTCCACCCTGCCCATGCCTAGGCAACCACTGACCAGTTTCTATCGCAGTCAGTTAGTTCATATTTCCTAGAATTGCCTGTGATGGAATCACACAATACATGCTTTTTTTCCCTTTCTTTTTTTTTTTTTTCTTTATTTCTTTATTTCTTTATTTTTTTTGGTCTGGCTTTTTTCGCTCGGCATGATTTTGAGATTTGTCCCTGTTGTTGAGTGTTTCAATAGTTCATTCTTTTCATTTTTGAATAGCAAGATGAAATATGTAAAAAACTCACAATGAGTCCTACCATAAAGTAAATGCTTAAGTAAGTGGAAGCTGTTACTATAATAATATTAAAACCCTTCCTGAATTTAAGAATCTATAACTATTATGCGGTCATTTCTAAAACCCCTCACTGGCAAAACATAAGGAACCCAGGTAAACCCCTTTTGCTTGGAAAGGGGGTTTAACTTCAACTATACTAAAACAAAAATAATGTTGGGGCACCTGGGTGGCTCAGTCGGTTGGGCGTCCGACTTCAGCTCAGGTCATGATCTCGCGGTCCGTGAGTTTGAGCCCCGCGTCGGGCTCTGTGCTGACAGCTCGGAGCCTGGAGCCTGTTTCAGATTCTGTGTCTCCCTCTCTGCCCCTCCCCCACTCGTCTGTCTGTCTGTCTCTCTTTCTCTCTCTCTCTCAAAAATAAATAAAAACATTAAAAAGTTTTTAAAACAAAAACAATGTTTTGGTAAGAAAGGTTCTGATGTTCAAATGGGAAGTAACCCCACCCTGCAGGTCAATTCATGGAGGTCTGTGGGGGGATATTTTACAGTTGACGGATCCGGCTAGCCCATCAAACGCCCCATTTCTCAAAATCAGATGTTCTTTTATAGAGGACGCAGCTGCTTGATAAACCCTGCACCCCTTGTGTCTCATCTCTTCCAGCTCTGGGGTCTCCACCAACTATGGTTCTCAATGCAGGCCCAGTAGTCTCAAATACAAATGGGGTTGTGTTTCAAGGCATTCCCATGGCTCACCCATGGAGGCAACACGTGCTTTATGTGCTGTTTGTACTGTGCCAAACATTGGGCTCAGGGTCCCACCCCCTTAGTGCATTTAACCCTCCCCATCCAGTGAGACACCATGTCAGCAATGCCTTTGCCACGCAGCAGAAAATCTGACGGCAGTGACGTGGACAGAATTGGTTTTTCACCAGCAAGAAGTCTTGAGGTAGGCAGTTACTAATGCGAAATCCGTGGCTCAATGATATCGATGCTATAATATCTATTCTCTTAGCTGCTTCCTCAGGTTGGCAGGATGGCTGCTGCTCCTGCCATCACATCTGCGTTCCCAATGGAACAAAGGAAAAGATAAAGGGGGAGAGTTAGGGCCCATGTCAGGGAACGAGAGCTCTCCAGGAACCCCGGTGACCTATACATGTGTCTTCCCGTTCAGAACTGTGTCACAGGGCCACCCTCGCTGGAAAGTGACCAGAGAGGAGGATTTTGGAAACGGTGTCCATCACAGATCTGACAGTCTCTGATTTTGCAAGATGAGAAAAATGAGGCTTAGAGGTGTTAAGGGACTTCCCTGAAAGTCCCACAAGGAGTTAAGAGCCAAGCGGTCTTATTTGATCGGCTTTGATGAGATTCTAGGTCAGGCTTCTTGCTTTTCACGCTCGAATGCCAACTTTGCTTCCGTTCATCTGATATCTAGAGCACATGGATAGTTTTCCCTTTGATAGTAAATCAAATCGGCCCTTCGGGTAGTCATTGAAAGACTCAGATTCCAACTGACTTCTCTCCAGCAGCTGCCCAGAGCACAGATCAAGAACACTGAACCCTCGCGTTGAGGGAGGCAGGGACCCGCCCTCCTCCTATCCTTCTCAACCCACAGACCCACTGCAATGCTTTCGTTTCCTTTACTGAGTTACAATTTAATGATCCACCCTTGGGCTTCGCTGAGGCTCAGGAGAATGAAAGATAACTTTAAGTTACTGTTACATCTCCTGTAAAACGCCCATTGACGACCTTGCTCATCCTGCAGCCTGATACTCCTTTAGTAAGTATCCAGGATACATGCCCGCTAGAATTTGGCGCCTGGAAAATTTTTTTTCGTAGAAAATTAGAAGTGGATGTGTACCAGTAATCCAGGATGTCGTGGTTGCTGTAACTAAACACAGGTTTAGTTCTGAGGTTTCAGGTAGGCGTGAGATACATTTTTATTTGGTTACGGTAACCCTGTCATCTGGATCATGGGTCCAGTCACGTTTCTTTTCCTATATGGCTTTGGAATCCTTGGTTAGTCTCCTTTAATTGGTCTGTTTTATGTCTGCAAATACTTGAAGGCTCTCTCGTTTTTTTTGTTTTTTTTTTTAGAAAATATGAGTAATTTGGGGTGCCTGGGTGGCTCAGTTGGTTAAGCGTCTGACTTCTGATCTCACAGTTCATGGGTTCAAGCCCCATGCCAGGCTCTGGGCTGATAGCTTGGAGCCTGGAGCCTGCTTCAGATTCTGTGTCTCCCTCTCTCTCTGCCCCTCGTGCACTCGCTCTCTCTCTCTCAAAAATATTAAAAAATTAAAAGAAAATATAAGTAATTTTTAAGACTAAAAGAATTTGCAATGACCCATAGACAAGACAGTCTAGAAAGCGAAAAAGGAGAAGCAAAGAAACGGACCAGGCATCGAGGGACTTATATCTGCAGCATAAAGAGAGGAGGCTGAAGATGATGTGCTTCACGATTCTGAATTCTCTTACCATCCACCTGCAATTTAAATGATTCGTTGAACAAATATTTGAGCCCTTAATTACACTCATTAGATAGGAGCTCAGGCGTCTGAATCTCTGTGCGATGTGAATCTCTGTAACCCATTCATTAACAGGTTGAGGTTAGACAGGACCCGAAAAGATCCGATCGCACCCTCAACCCGGGGAGCCTCGTGCTTCCATTGTTACAGACAGCTCGTCCGCCTGTCTTTCAAAAAGGAGATGACAGGAAATTAAATCATGAAAAGATCTGTCACCTCGTGGGCCAGACACACAGCTCAGGGTAAGCGGAGGTGGCTTCAGAGTATAGGAAAAAAATGGAATACAGCATAGATTTGAGACGACAGAGAAACCACTCCATAAATTTTGGTACCTCCAAATTACGGGACACGGTGCAGCAATTAATATCATGTTTTAGGAGGCTATATTATCATATAATGTTTATGTGGATGGACAAAATGTATCTGTTTGTACATATATACGCACACACAAGCAGAATATGCAAAACTGATTTTGTAAAAGGAAAAACCAAACAGACCAAATAGACTGGAATGAAATTCACCAAGATATTGAAAACAGTGGCTCCCGCGAGGTGATCGAATTACAGGTAATTTTCGTTTTCATCATTATGATTTTCTCTGTTTTTTAATCTTTATGGAATGAATATGTATTACTTTTACAATCACGCAGAGCATGATTATATTTGGAAGGAATAAATGCAAAGTCCGTACAGTATAATGGAAATGTCTCAACACATGAAAAACTAGATGGTGTAGAAAGAAAATAGCTCGAAGCAAAGGAGAAGCGGTACAAAATGAGACGTGATTAATTACTCACGATCTCTGTCAAAAAGTGTGGCCAGGCGGTGGGTTCACGAAACCGGGGATTTCTCCAGCGCAGAAGTCACCTTGTGACGTTTAAGTGATTTGCTAACCCAGGTTAGCATCCTGGCTGGGCCACTCGGTGGCTGTGGGACCTGGGACAGGTCTAAGCCTCTTGCTTCTCTAGAGCAAGTGGGGGAGAGGCAGAGAGGGAGGGAGGGAGAGAGAGAGAGAGAGAGAGAGAGAGAATCCCAAGTAGGTTCTGCACTGTCAGCATGGAGCCTGAGGTGGGGCTCAAACCCTCGAACCCGCTCATTTGTTAAAAGATTTTTAACACATGATAGGGCTGCTCCGAGGGGTCAGTGAGGACAGGCGTGTAAGGGGCTCCATATAGAGCCTTTAGCAATGCTTTGCGGAAGAACAGACATCCTACTCCGAGCTCAGAGACCGTAAGAATCTGTGGGACAGGGGTGGTCGGGGGCAGACATACACGGGGGCTGGGGTGTCAGGGCTTGCCTGCGAGGGCTCTCTCTCGGGGTGATACGCAAGGTGCATCAGCCTCAGTACCTACAGACCTGGCTCCTCACTCGGCAAGGTATGCAAACAGCCTCAGCCTCTGTGTTCTTAATTACGACATTGATATAACGTATCTTTCTTTGCTCTTCCTGGGGCTTATCATTCGCTCCTTCCTTAATTTTATGAATGTCTTTCGGACGCCATACTGTGTGCGAGATAAAACACCAGAGAAAGATTTCCTGTCCTCATGGAGTTTATAGTGCGGAGGGGGTTAAGGTGACACACACACGATGCCTAAGTTGAATGTATGGCATTTTAAGTGGTGATGCGTGTCACAGAGAATAGCGAAGCCGGCACAGAGAACTGGGGTGAGGGGTGAATTTTGGCTAGAGGGCAGGCAAGGGCTCACGGAGAGATGGCATTGGAGCAGGTTAATGTGTGATGGAAGCGAGGGAGCAAGCTCTGTTGGAATTTGGGAGAAAGGATTACCGGCAGGGAGGACAACAGCCAGCGCAAAGGCCCTGTGGCAGCGAACGTGTCGGAACAGGATGGCTGCAGCAGAGAGAGCGAACAGGGCAGCCTCGAGAGAGAAGAACCGAGATGCGAGGTTTGTGGACGGAACCACACTGGCTTTTGCCCCAGGTGCGTTTTAAGCAGGAGACGGGCGGGATCTGATTCCAGCCGGCGAGGGTACTGCCGTCTGCTGTTTTGAGAACACCGGGTGGCGAAGAGATCAAGGGCGAAAGCAGGGAGGCCCTTGGGACGATGTCGTGGGGAGCAGGTGAGAGCCGCTGGGCAAAGGGCGGTCGCGGCGAAGACGGCGAAACGAGATAGCGGATGGGGACCTGCTTGGAAAATGCACTTGCTCTTAGACCGCACGATGCTGTTGCGATCTCGCAGAAGCAACTGTGTGAAGAGCGCAGAGCAGCAGGTGCCGCACGCGGCCACGGGCGGGACACCAGCCCGTCCGAGGGGAGACGTTCGGTGAGCTGATGAACTCGGGGGGGCCCAGGTATGGGCTTGACCGTCAGGACTTGTCTGCGATGATGCAGGACCCTGAAATGGGAGGGGACGATCACATGTCCTTGTGCGTCTCGCGCATGGGATGCTTTCGCCATCAACTTAAGTCCACCTGCTTCTCCGGTTCTGCCTGGAAACTGTCACTTCCCGCCCTGCGTCCGGGAGGGGAGTTGCAACAGCGTCTGGCCGCGTAGGGAGCAAAAACACGGCTGCCTTTTCCTGAGAGAGTCCTCCCTCCCTGGGGGACTCAGCGGCGTCCTGCTGGGATGATCCAAGGCGTTCCCAGCCCGCTTCCTGCAAACTGGTGTGGTTTTCTCCTCAATAATCCTTCAGAAGCACGTAGAGCTGGACGGGCCCAAATTAGAGGGGTCTGCTCCATTCCAGGGGTTGATTTGAATATCCCTCCTTTGCGGGGAGGAGAAAACAAGTCTTCCTAAGAAGAGAAGTTACTAGAAGGCCTGTTCTCAAAAACATGTCCTTGGCAGCCCATTAATTATATTTCCTTTTGACACATCTCGTATATGGTTGTTATATCTTTAGGGGGAGAAAGGTGTTGGGTGATTAATTGGTTGATGGTGTATGTTAATTGGATGCTAATTACATTGAAATCTAACTCGTATTTGAAACCCTTAATTTAACTCAGGACCAGACAATTAAGAATCTTCAGGCTTCTCCAAGGGACTTGTCTTCCTCTCTGTCACCTCCAAATGTCTGTTGACACTTTCTCCTTGTTTACAAACTTGTTTTTCAAGGGAAGACTCACGCTTCTTCGAGCTTCCAGCTATAATAAGACATGTTGGTTCTTGCGATACATATTTAATTGCTTTACTGGGGGAAAAAAATGCACGTATCTCCACTCTATTACTTAAGTTTGTTCTAAGCAAGTCCCGTCACGCTGGACTACGGTGCCGTTTGAAGAAACGGCACCTAGAAGAGAGTCATTCTGTACTGAAGTCTCCGGAAAAGCACGGAGATGCTCTGATAGGGTCCTGGTGACCCGAAAGCAGTGGAGGAGCCCTTGGCATTGCTGGAAGCTTCCGGGCAATTCTCTGCTCCTGTTCCCACTCGGGGAAGACCTCACCCCCACCCCCACCCCCACCCCCACCTGGGAGATGAATACTCTGAGAATATGCTCACAAAGTATCCAACAGCTCCTGTTTTTTGTTTTTAATGTTTTTACTTATTTATTTTTGAGAGAGAGCAGGGGAGGGGCAGAGAGAGGGAGAGAGAGGATCCCAAGTAGGTCAGCACGGAGCCCGGCGCGGGGCTCGAACCCACGACCCATGAGCCGAAGCCAGCTGCTTAACCGACAGAGCCACTCCGGCGCCCCCGGTAGCTCCCGTTTTGTACCCCAGGTGTGGAAGGGGCCTCCACCCACGCTGATAAGGGAGCCCCGGCCTCCACGCTCCTGTGCTGTCTCAGCCAGAGCGGGCAGGTCTCTCCACAATCCGATTATCTGGAGATTTCCTCGAGGGTAGAGTGCCGCGCCTTGAGACCAGGAAGGTATCTTCTGTTTCGACTCTCTAAGCAAAGAAACCTGGGGACCCCAGGTACGATCAGAGGACCCTGGGCTCTGAACGTTAACCGTCCCAGACTTGTACGCTGACCTCCCCTTAGAAGAGTTTCTTTGTTCTTCCGAGCCTCGGTTGCCTCCTCCGTGAAATGGGATGCTAAGACGAATCCGGCACCGACGTTGCAGGAATTAAATGAGATGGTGCGCTTTTGTAGAAACCCGAGAGGGTCCACGCCTAGTGAGGTGTTCGGTGCCTGGTCTACGCAGTCACCCTGACTGCCAGGCGGGCTCCCGCTTCACCTGCGGTCCCCTAGAACGCCAGGACTTAAGCAGGTGCACGCTGCGCCACGGCTTGTCCTTGGCACTGGTTCTGTCTCCACACTGGCCTCTGAGATTCGAACCTCCTTCCCTCACCCACTGGCTCTCCCCTCAGCTGTCCTGGAGAAGCCTCTAGAAAAGAAGGCCGGAAGAAACTATGGCCCCCCAGGCAACAAGAAGCTGATCTATTTCATTGATGACATGAACTTGCCTGAGGTGGATGCCTACGGGACCGTGCAGCCTCACACCATCATCAGGCAGCATCTGGACTATGGCCACTGGTAAGCACACATGTGCAAAGGGCCTGGGGCCCGCGGGCTGGGGGGGGGGGCTGAGGGGGGAGGCCTAAGGCAGGGCTGAAGGCCGTTCCCCTGGAGCCCCAAACTGCAGTTTAGTGCTGGTGCTGGGTGAGAATCCCCGTAGCAAACCACAGTCCCCACAGGACTGTGTCTCCTGGGGTGCACTTTCAGTCCCAGGAATCAGTACCGACATGGGAAATTTGGTCAGGGGACATACTGAGCTGTTATCTAAGGCGGGGGGGGGAAACCTACTTTTTTTTTCAACATTCATCTCAAAAGTTGCCTTCTCCAAACCCCCAAAGCAGAAGGAACCTCTCCTGTCCCCCGCTGTGGTCCCAAGTCCCTGAGCGGGTACTTGAGCGATAACCGCTAACACCCTGTGTGGTGCACATATGTCCGCGGGTCTGAACAGCCTTTGTCCCTTTCGGGGAAATTCGCAGAGTTTGTTATTGTCTCCGGCCACAGCGTAATTGTTGACGGCAAAAGGTCTGAACTTGCCAGAAAAAAAAAAAAAAAAAAAGTCTGTGATTGGAGACCACTTTGGCTCGCCTTCCTACCCCACGTCGAATTAGCTGCTGAGAATTCGGGGAACTCAGAGAGAAGCATGGTTGTGATGGTGACCTGAGTCGCCTTTCAGCCATCGCTAACACCTTCTGCGGGATGCCTGCCGTGTACATCCCCCCACAGCGTGCACACCAGCATCTGGGCGGCTCGGCTGTACAGGAACAGTTGGATCTGACACACGAGTTTTACTTTAGATTCGTGGCCACGAGCCCAAAGTGGGCAGTAGGAGCTCTCTGGAAATCCCGCCCTGCTGCCTCGGCATGTTTGCATTTCCACTTGCAGCGATGGCTGCTTCAGACCTTCTGTCTGTCCTCAGACTTCCCGCCCCACCTCCGCTGCTGACCATGGGTTCCATCTTTGTTTCCTGCCTCCGTAGCTGTACGAGAGCCTCCTTTCCTCCCTCCTCCTGACCCACCTTCCCTGAGGCCGAGCCGTCACCAGCCTCTGGTTCTTCTCTCCCCCCGCCTCCTTCGGCAACTGCCTCTTACCTCCTGATTGGCTCCTTCTCATCGAAATTGAGACTCACCTAGATTTCTTCTATTGCATTCAAAAACACGATTTTCTAACTGATGACCCGTTCTCTCTTTCCACATAGCCAAATATCTCTATTTCCACTTCCCCACTTTCCCCACCACCGCTCACTCCACTCCCTGGTTTTTGTTTCCTCCACTTTAGTGAATTTTTCCTGCTCAGCTACTTTATATGAGACCTGACAGACCCGTTGGGTCAACTGTCTTTCAGATTCTCTTTGATTGCTCTCTCCTCTTGGAAGGAACCAACTTCCTTTGGCTTCTGGGCTGCCGTACCCCTCTAATGCCCCCCCCACCTCTTAGACCTTTATGGTTTCTTTTTTTCTATGATCTTTCCATAGATGTTGGATCCCTCAGGATTTGGGCCCAGCCTCTCATCCTTTTCCGATCTCTACCAATGGATCTAGGCTTTTTTTTTTTCCCACCACTCAAGCATATAAATGATAGGATGCATCCCACCTCACCCTAACAAGGCACTCACCTGCCTGGGCCATCACCCAGCTCTCCCTGTGGTTTCTGACTGTTCCAGGTATGACCGGAACAAGCTGTCCCTGAAGGAGATCAGGAATGTGCAATATGTCTCCTGTATGAACCCCACCGCGGGCAGCTTCACCATCAACCCACGGCTTCAGGTATGGGAGGGAGCTGTGGTACCTGAGTCCTAAGTAAATACTAGCCCACCCGGGCCCACATCCCTCAATGGCAAGTAGTAACTGGTCCTTCCCCCGTCCAGCCTCTCAAAGTGGCGAATTATACGGGATGCTGATTTGCGTTTCTGGGGAGACAAAGAAACTCCTAGACCCAGAGCCATGAAGCTTTTAGAGCTGGAAGGGGCCATAGAGTTCATCTGATTTAGCTCATTCTTTGGAGCGGGAAAACATCAGAGAGATGAAATGAGTCTCCCAAGGTCGTGGGGATATCCAGTGTCAAATCCTGGTTTGGGCTCAGATGCTCTGAGTTCAAGTTCTGTTCTAAGTTCGGGTTCAGTGTGAGAAGTGTGATCGGAATATAGAATCCAAAGGCCTCCTAAGAATTCCTCGTTGCTCTACCCAGAGCCCCAAGAGGCGATCTTGACTCTGACCCCTGGCCCCTGCCTGTTCTCTCGTACAGCGCCACTTTAGTGTGCTTGTCCTCTCCTTCCCTGGGGCAGACGCCCTGGCTTCCATCTACGGCACCATCCTGACTCAGCACCTTAAGCTTGGAAACTTCCCAGAGTCTCTGCAGAAATCTAGCCCCCAGCTCATCAGTCTGGCCCTCACCTTCCACCAGAAGATCGCCACCACATTCCTACCCACAGCGATCAAATTCCACTACGTTTTCAATCTCCGAGACCTCGCCAACATTTTCCAGGTGAGTCCGTCTGTATAGAGACACCCTTGAGAGGCTCGCTGATAATCTGGGCCCTTCCATTCTTGGTAAAATAACAGCACCAAACCCTTATGCAAAGGCGCCGTTCGTACAGAATCATGAACACAATCAGGTAGATGGGGCCACGGGCTCCATGAGGAGGGACGTCAACCAGGTAGAGTTCTGTTTGCCAAAGACATGGTTTCCCAGGACACATTTCTGAGTTGGCTCCTTTGGGTTGGAGAAGGCTCAGCATCTTGAAGAAAATGCTACATACTGATTCCAGCATGCCAAGGAAGGAAAGAAAAGAAAGAAAGAGAAAAACTACTTTGCGGGCCCTGGTGGTATACCATGGTTCTTGGGAACAAAAAGAATGCCCCCTGAAATCAGGCGGGATAGATCCGCTTCCTGAAAAAGCCACATCATAGTATTCCTAAGATAGTACCTGCCAGCCTCCAGGAGGCCTCTGTTGCCAAACTCCAGCTTCCTCTCCAGGCCACAGCCATTGCAGATTCTTCTAGCTCTTTCTCCTCTGCATAGCGATGGCCTGTCTCTGCCCATTGCCTTCAGTTGCTTGACCCTTTGCTGTCAAAACCTCCAGAGGGCAACGCAACAAAGCCTGGTCCCCTCTTCCTCACAGGATGGGGGCTGCAACTTTGCCATCTTGGGCAAGAACCTATGGAGACCACTCTTTGGACACGGTCCTCCCCAAGTTGGCAGGAAGGATGCCTTTTACACCAAGCAGAGGCCACACCTGTAGGGGGCTGTCAATGCGACCGGGGAGTGAGACGTGACCCTCCGTGGTCAGCACATGTACTTGGAATTAATTACCCAGGACACTACACGTCCAGATCCTGAGAACATAGGGCCTGCGTGGTCCAGCCAGGACCTTTGGTTGTAAAAAGCAGAAATCTTCTGACCATTAGTTCGGAGGTCTGAGAACTGTGTCTGGAGTGGCTTCACCTAGAGAGACACTGAGCCTCCCCGCGTAAGGACCAGTCTCTGAGTACACACTTAAGCTACCTCAGGACAGCCCTGTGGGCCACGTACCTCCTAACCACTAACTCTGCTAAAAAATGAGGAAGCAGAGACCCCCAGAGATTCTGTAGATTTTCCTAGGAGCACACAGCCAGCCAGGGAAGGGACTGGAACAAGAAGCCGGGTCTTTGGGTTCCTGGCCAGGACCTCTTTCCTGCACACCATGCTGTCCTCTTCATCCGTACTTCTGGAGAGGGGAACAAGCATAAAGTAGTTCAGGCAGCAAGAAAGACCCCACTCCAAGCCCGTAAAGCCTTCAGGTCTGTGGCTCTGAGGCCAGGACGATGGCAAAATTTGTACATGCCCGCTATTATCTCTCCTCTACTGAGTATTAATTGAGAAAGACCTCTTTTGTCACATACTACCTCTCTTAAATCTCACCACAGCAGCACGAGGTGAGAATGTCCCCATCTGTACTTTTCAAAGGCAAGAAAGGAGTTAATTGGGTCAAATTCACATTGCTCATAGGGCAGAGCTGAAGGGAGAAGGGCATTAGATCTGGTTGACCAGAAGCATCCAGCTCCTGCCTGGACAGACGCCTTGTCACCCGTACACTCTGAAACGCACTCATGACAACCCTTCGGGACCCACGTTATTATCCCAATTTAACGGAGGCTCAGGGAAGTTACCAGCCAGGTGACAGCACGAATGGTCACAGAGGCAGAAAAGCATAGACAACATCAGTGGAATGCGTAACAGGCGTCGGGCCATGGCGGATGGAAAGTGAGGGGAAGGAGGTGGTCATGGAGAGACAGAATTGGAAAGATCATTTGAGGCCAGAGTGGGCCCTCATAAAAAGTCTGACATTGGCCTGTAGCAATTATGGAGCATGGTCCTGGGCCTTTTACATCTATTAGCGAATAACTGAATCCTTGCAACCATCGTGCAAGGCAAAACAGTGATTATTTCCAATTTGGAAGGGACACACTGAGCCACAGACAAATCAAGTGCCTTGAGCATGATCCCATCACCGGAAGGCAGCGTCACCGACACCCAAAACTAGAACGTTCAATTACAAAATGCTCACCGCCATATTCCAGCCTTGTTTCAGTGGCGGCCAGCGTAATGTCAAGGAAGCGCCAAGGAGGGGGGGTATTGGCCTGGGGGCAGCATCTCCTGTTCCCCCTGGCCTGTTTCATTGGCTGGCTCAGGCAGGCTGAGTGGCAACCCCCGGGGCCCTGTTTGCCTGCCTGTCTGCAGCCTGCCAGCTGTCACCCACCTGCTACTATGGTGGGAAAATACATCCCCCATTGGAGCACCTGCGTCCCTGCAACCACCCAGCCCCTGCCCTCCTCCTCCAGGGGGGAGTTTCAGGCTCCCAGCTTGACCACAGCCTCCCCTGGCTACTTGTCTAACGGCCTGATGGAAGCACCTAGGGGGTGGCTGGATGCCTGGTAGGAGCCAGGCATCACCTCCTTCCAGTGAGACCTGCAACTCAAGAATTGAGACCCTCTCTACACTTCCCTCACTCTGTCCTGACCAGGACACCATCTGAGAAAGCTCCAAGTGGCAGAAATCATCAACTGCTCCCATCTCAATGCCACACGTAACTAAGGTGGGGCAGAATTTGTGCTTGATGTGCTCATGTGGGTGAGTAGCCTACCTCACTATGAGGGACAGTCCAGGAAGTCGGGGTGCCTGGTGGGTACTTCTCCCTGCCCTCTGCATCTCATACGGCTCATACCGAGGAGAGCAAAGGAGACGAGAGGTCGAGATGTGTGTGGGGGTGGGGCCCAAGGGACCTAACGGAATTTCTTCCATTTTTAAAAATACACTTTTATCAGAGTACAACATATAAGTAGGAAATCCCACAAGTCATAGGCACACAGCTTGGTTAGTTATTACAAAGCCATCACACCTCTGTAACCACAAGAAATGGATCAAGATCTTCAGATCAAGAAATAGAACATTCCCTTGGGGCACCTGGGTGGCTCAGTCAGTTAAGTGTCCGACTTCAGCTCGGGCCATGATCTCTCAGTTTGTGGGTTCGAGCTCCGCATCAGGCTCTGTGCTGACAGCTCGGAGCCTGGAGCTGCTTCGGATTCTGTGTCTCCCTCTCTCTCTGTCCCTCCCTTGCTCATGCTCTGTCTCTCTCTGTTTCTCAATAATAAACATTAAAAAAAAGAAAGAAAGAAATAGAACATTCCCGGCATCCCTGAAACTCCTTCTCCTTTGTCCCTTCCATTTGGTTTTTCCTCCCCTCCCAGAGGTAAATACTGTTTGGATTTATAACACTGTAAGTTCTTCTGGCCTGTTTTTGGACTTTATGAAAACAGAATCATAGGGCAAATATTAATTTGTATCTTTGTTCAATAATGCCCTTATGCTTATATATACAATCATGTTATTGGTTAAAAAAAAAAAATACTAGTAATAATTTCTCTCTTTCCGGTCCTTAAATCTTACAATTTCTTTTTCTTGTCCTATTGCGCTGGCTACAACCGCCAGTATGATGTTGAAGAGAAGTTGAGAGAGCTGCCTCTTGTTGCATTTCTAATTCTAGGGGGAAGAGCTTTTAAGAGTGTGTGATGCTTACTTTAGGTTTTTGTGGATGCTCTTTGCCAGATAAAGAAACTTTCTTCCTGTGTGTAGTCTAAGAGTTTTAACCATGAATGTATATTGAAACTTAAGTGGTTTTTGTGCAGCTTTTGTAATAATTATATTGATTCCTTTCTCATTGTTTCTGGAAATGTGATAAATTACATTGATTATTTTTGATTTTTTTTTAACATTTATTTATTTTTGAGACAGGGAGAGACAGAGCATGAACAGGGGAGGGTCAGAGAGAGGGAGACACAGAATCTGAAACAGGCTCCAGGCTCTGAGCTGTCAGCACAGCGCCCGACGCGGGGCTCGAACTCACGGACCGCGAGATCATGACCTGAGCAGAAGCCAACCGCTTAACCGACTGAGCCACCCAGGGGCCCCTACATTGATTATTTTTGAATCTTAGCTCACCCTTGCATTCCTATAATGAGCCCAACTTAATTACTGCATGTTGAGCCTTTTATATTTTGCTGGGTTCCATTATCTATTTTTTTTAATGTTTATTTATCTTAGAGAGAGAGAGAGAGAGAGGGAGAAAGAGAGAGAGGTAATGGCAGAAAGAAAGGGGAGAGAGAATTTCAAACAGGCTCCACGCTGTCCGTTCAGAGCCCAAGGTGGGGCTTGATCTCACGAGCCATGAGCTCTTGGCCTGAGCCAAAATCAAGAGTCAGAGACTTAACCCACTGGGCCACCCAGTCACCCTCCATTTGCTATTTTTTAATATATTTTTTGCACCTCTGTTAATAAGATTGTCCTGTAATTTTCCTTTCTTCCATATCCTAAGGTTATGAAGTCCTCAAAAAGTGCATTGGGAAGTGGTCTCTCCTTTCCTACTCTCTGGAAGAGTTTGTAAAACACTGTAGTGAGCCTTCCTTAAATGTCAGAAGAAGTTACTGATGAAACCATCTGGAGATTTTTTATGGCCAGTCTTACGCTCTGAGTTCCACTTTGTTCGTACATATTAGACAATTCAGATTTTCTATTCATGTGTCAGTTGTGGTAAGATGTCAATGTCATCAATTTCTACCTTATTAGCATACAGTCATTTATAATGTCCTGTGATTATCTTTTAGATATCTGTTGTATCTGACATTATGTCCTCTTTCTTAAAACTGATACTATTTGTGCCTTTTCTCGTTTTCTCTTTTTCTCTTTTATCGGGCTTATAAAAGAGTTATCAATTCTGCTAATCTTTTCAAAGAAACTGAAAAGTATATCAATTGTTTTTACCTTGTTTGCTGTGTCTATTTGATATCTGCTTTTATCTTATTAATAAGTACCGTATAATCTCTTTCTTTAGGTTTGTGATTAGTCTTCCTTTTTCTAGCTTCTTGATGTGTCTAGTTCGATCATCAATTTTCAGCCTTTCAGCTCTTCTAAAATGTTCATTTTAAGGCTATGAATTTATCACTATTCCATGTATCATGCAAACTTTTATATGTTGTATTTTTATTATCATTCGCTTCATAATATTTCTTAATTTCCCCTGTGATTTCTCCTTTAGCTTATGGGATATTTGGAAGTGTATTGCTTTGTTTTTCAAAATTGAGAGATTCTCTAGTTATCTTGCTTTGTTTTTCAAAATTGAGAGATTTTCTAGTTACCTTTCTCTTGTTGATGCTCAGCTTAATTTCACCATTTCAGAAAATATACTCTATTATTTTATTCCTTTGAAATATGAAGTGTGTTGAGACTGGCTTTATGTCCCAAGATATGACCAATGGGCACTTTTTAAATAGTGCATTCTTCAGATGCCGCGTGTAGTTAAATCAATATGTCAACTAGGTCAAGCTTGTAAATCATGTCATTGAAATATCTTATATCCTTACTGATTTTTTTTTTTTTTTACTACATGCTCTGTCCATTTCTAAGAAAAGTATGCTAAAATCTCCCACCGTTGTTGTGGACATGTCCATTTCTCCTTTTATTTCTGTCACATTTGTTTTATATGTTTTGAAGTGGTGTTATTAGGTGCACATACATTTAGAATTAGTATATCTACCTAATGGACTGCCCTTTTACTTATTATTAAATATCTTGCTTTATTTCCAATTTATTATTCCAGCCTTTTTTTCTTATATTTAAGGTATATCTCTTCTAGGCAACATATAGTTGGATTTTTAAAATCGAGTCTAATAATCATAGTCTTTTAATGAAAATATCATGTTCATTCATATTTGATTTGATTTTATATAATAATAAATTTAGGATTAAATCTATACTGCTTGTTTTCAGTATGTTCTAGCTGTTCTATGTTTTCGTTCCCCTCACTTTTTGTATTCTATGAAACTAATCACTTTTTGTTTTTTATTTTCTCCCCTCTTAGCATGCAGTACATCTTTTTACTCTTCATCTAATGATTATCAAATGCATCATTTTATTCTTTTTTTTTTAGTTTTTTTTTTTAACATTTATTTATTTTTGAGACAGAGAGAGACAGAGCATGAACGGGGGGAGGGCCAGAGAGAGAGGGAGACACAGAATCTGAAGCAGGCTCCAGGCTCTGAGCTGTCAGCACAGAGCCTGATGCGGGGCTCGAACTCACGGACCGTGAGATCGTGACCTGAGCGAAGTCGGACGCTCAACTGACTGAGCCACCCAGGCGCCCCTCATTTGATTCTTTTGTAAATGAGCACTTTATCCCTTGCAAGGGTCTTAGAGCAATTTACATCCCTCCAATTTGATTCTATTATTATTTTTAAAATTCAGTGTGTATTGAAAACCCACGACGCATGAATACTTTTGTCTTCGTCAACATTTACTTAGGTTTACTCACATACTATCTTCCCACTTCCCCTATCCCTGGTGCATTTCTGTTCTTCCATTTGGAGTCATTTTCATTCTACCTGAAGCTCTCCTGTAGATTTTAGTGGTGTTTATATCTGCTAGAAAATAATCTCTCAGTTTTTATTTAACTGGAAATGTATTTATTTCTTATTTTTCAAAAGAATTGGGGGGAGGGCGCCTTGGGTGGATCAGTCAGTTAAGTGTCTGATTCTTGATCTCAGCTCACATCTTGATCTCAAGGTTGTGAGTCCACACCTAATGTGGAGCCCATCTTAAAAAACAAAAACAAAAAACAAAAAAACAATTCTTGGAGGGGGTTTAGAAGTCGAGGTTGGTAGCTATGTTTTTTTCAGCTTTTCAAAGGTATTATTCAACTGTCCTCTGCTTTCATTGTTTCTACTGAGGAAGTCTTAAGTCTTACTTTTCCTTTACAGTACACATAGTTTTTTTTTTCACTTGCCTGCTTTTGAGATTTTCTGTTTGTCTTTGATTTTCAAAATTTTCACTATTCCCAAGATTTCTAAGTGGTATTTTCTGTATTTATCCTGCTTAGTGTTTGCAGCACTTTTGAATCTTGATGTCTTTTCTTTTCAGGTTTCTTTTTCAGTTTTAGAGAAGTCACAATATCTTTTCAAATGTTGCTTCTGCTTTTTTTTTTTTTCTAGTATTCTAATGCAAGTATATGAGACCTTGTCACTGGGTCTCATATGTCCCTTATGCTCTTTCTTTTTTCTCTTAGTGATTCAATCTGAATGTTTTAATTTTTTTTTTCAACGTTTATTTATTTTTGGGACAGAGAGAGACAGAGCATGAACGGGGGAGGGGCAGAGAGAGAGGGAGACACAGAATCGGAAACAGGCTCCAGGCTCTGAGCCATCAGCCCAGAGCCCGACGCGGGGCTCGAACTCACGGACCGCGAGATCGTGACCTGGCTGAAGTCGGACGCTTAACCGACTGCGCCACCCAGGCGCCCCTCAATCTGAATGTTTTATACTACTCCCTCTTCCTCTTCACTCATTTTCTTTTCAATTCTGTCTATTCTGCTGTCAACTCCATTGATTAAGTTCTTAATTTCAGTAACACTAATTTGGGGTAATTTTTAATTTGACCATTTCCATTCGATTCATTTTTAAGTTTATTTATTTATTTTGAGAGAGAGTGTGTGTGTGAGAGAGAGAGAGAGAGAGCACGTGTGTGTGTGTGTGTGTGTGTGTGTGTGAGCAAGGGAGGCACAGAGAGAGAGGTAGAGAATCCCAAGCATTCTCTGTGCTGAGAAGACCTCACAACCATGAGATCACAACGTGAGCACCCCTGATTCATTTTAAAGGCTCCACTCCTTTGATGAAATTCTTTACCTGATGTCCCCTAATTTCTTGGTCATTTTAATCATAGTTCTGTTAAAGCTCTTGTGTCTGATAATTCCAACACCTAGATCTTCTGTGGGCTGGGTTTTTTCCCCCTGATTTGGTCACGTCTCCTGGTATTTCCAGTAATTTTTGTTTGATAGCCAGACATTAGGAGTTTTAAAATGTGCAGGGGTGGGTGCCTTTGTGGCTCTGTCAGTTAAGTATTCAGCTCTTGGTTTCGGTTCAGGTCATGTTCTACCGGGTTCATGAGTTCAAGCCCTGAGTCAGGCTCCACACTGTCAGGGCAGAGCTATTCAGATAATTTGAGGGTTTATATGATGATATTTTCCTTCAGAGATTACACATTTCTGCTTCTGGCCAGTAGGTACCAGGGATTGAGGAGTTGAAATTGGGCTCGTTTCTGTGAGGACTGAATGATTGTGACTCACTCATACTCCTGATGTATCACCATTTGAGAAGCTCCCCTGAGGTCTTTAGCCATGAACCCCTTCTTGCTAATCCCTGAACTTCAACTTTTACCCTTCCTTCCACTTGAGATGAGGTAACTTTGCTCAGCATCTTAACCTTTCACTTGTCTGTCTCTCTTTGGTTTCTGAACCTGTGAGCCATTACTTGTGAATTGGAAAATGCCTGAAGGAAAAAAAAATAGTACCAAATTCTGGGTCCATCTTTCTTCCTTCTCTTCCCTAGTATCGTAGCCCCTTGAGTCCTCACTGCCTTGGTGACTCCCTAATGCCTCTAAAACGATGAAGCTTTAAAGATAAGTCCCCTATCTTTTGTAGTTGACTTCAGCGGATTGGTTTGTGATCAGGTATTCTGCCACGACTAAAAGCAGAAATCTCGATGCAGGGCACATCAGAGAAAGTGCTGTTGGACAGGAAAGGAGGTGCCATGGAACACTTCAAGAAAGAGATCACACTTGAACTGGATCTTGAAATATGAGCATAGCTAGAAAAGCAAAAGGCACAAAGGCACAGAAAGTATGCAGCGCCAGAAAACAACTTGAATTTGGTGAAACCGAGATCTAGATTTTACGGGAAGTGGTGATCATGAGGAACTAGACTGGTAGCCCTGTTACAACCAGAACTTTCTGCCGTGCTCATCCTGTTGGTAATGAGGGATAATTACATGGCCCCTTTTCCTCATGATAAAAAAAAAGTAATTGGGGGGAAACACAGGTACAGATGAGTTTCAAATTACAGGACTTGTTGAGGTCATTCAGAGACTCTCATCTTGGTTGTCTCCAGTTTTCAATGAAAAATGAGGCTGAGACATTAGCTAATCGTAGCAGAGAGGTGAGGTGACAGAGAAACTTGAAAAGGATAGTAAATGTTTGGGATGATCCCTGTGGTATACGGAAGGAGAACCCTCTAAAGATGAGTAAAATGGATTACTGACCTGCAAAGGTTAGCTAGAGTCACCCTTTGTCATCGTTCCGATTTTACATAAACAGTTGTCGCCTAGACTGGTTCTCAAACCGGTACTTAGGGAGTTGAAACACGGCAAAGAGGCCACCTGTCTCCTCACTGTGGCTGTTTGGAATGCAGTGATCAAAATTCCAGGTCCTCAAGGTTTTGAAACCTTGCTGAGACCACATACTATATATTTGCCATTAGGTATGCTTCCTGTCTTTCTGAATCCCAATCTCCACATTATACCAAATGGATGTAGTAAAAGTTATATTTTTGTAGAAATTGTTTATCATGGTGGTCACATGAGTTTTACCTGGAGAAACTTCTAGTCCAGTACCTGTCATGTACCTGGTTTAATAAGTTGTAGCTGTTGTAGTTTTAAATTGTTATTCACATTATTTTTGGTCTACTCTCTATAAAGGGCATTCTCTTCTCCTCTGTGGAGTGTGTAAAATCCACACAGGACCTCGTAAAGCTCTATCTACATGAATCAAGTCGGGTTTATCAGGACAAGATGGTGGAAGAAAAGGACTTTGATCTTTTTGACAAAATCCAGACAGAAGTGGTCAAGAAAATTTTTGATGTGAGTATTGCCCTGAAAAAAAAATTGCTATATATTTGAAAAATAAATATTTCTGCAGACGATCACCCAAATGACAAAATCTAGCTCAGAAATGGGGCAAGGTGGGGGGCAGGAATCAGAGATTAGATAGAGAAAGAAAATCTATCATTATTTTGCTGAGGTGAAAATGGCAGGACAAGAAAAGACATAAATTACCATAGAATTTCAGTGTTGGGAGGGTCTGTGGATTTCATGTGATCCAATTCCTTGTCCCATACTCGCTCATGTCAGTAGCATTTCTCAGACTGGTCATCCCAGTGGATGCATCCTTGAAAATGCATAATCTCATCTTTCCCGGGGGAGCCATTCTGGAGCCACTAATGACTAGAAATTTGAAGCAATTTATTTTTTTTTAAGTTTATTTTTTTATTTTGAGAGAGAGAGAGAGAGAGAGAGAGAGAGAGAGGCAGAGAAGGAGAGAAAGAATCCCAAGCAGGCTCTGTCAGCACGTGGGGCTTGAACTCACGAACCATGAGATCATGACCTGAGCTGAAATCAAGAGTCTGATGTTTGACCGGCTGAGCCACCCAGGTGCCCCTGGAAATTTGCAACAATTTTTATTTTTTTATTTTTTATTTTTTTAATGTTTATTTTTGATAGAGAGAGAGAGAGAGAGAGAGAGACAGAGCATGAGTGGGGGAGGGGGAAAGAGAGAGGGAGACACAGAATCTGAAGCAGGCTCCAGGCTCTGAGCTGTCAGCACAGAGCCCGACGTGGGGCTTGAACTCATGGAACGTGAGATCATGACCTGAACCAAAGTTGGATGCTCGACCAACTGAGCCACCCAGGCGCCCCTGGAACAATTTTTAAATTCGGAAGCTTTGGAACAATTTTAAAGTCTGGAATTTTTTTCTCTCTCTTTCTTTCTTTCTTTCTTTCTTTCTTTCTTTCTTTCTTTCTTTCTTTCTTTCTTTTTCATTTTAATTTATTTGAGGAGAGAGAGTGTGTGTATATGAGCAGGGGAAAGGGGCAGAGAGAGAGGGAGGGAGAATGCGAAGCAGGTTCCACACTCAACACAGAGCCTGATGGGGGGACTCAATCCCATGATCCTGGAATCATGACCCGAGCCAAAAACAAGAGTCAGTCGCTCAACCGACTGAGCCACCCATGCACCCCAGCTGGAAATTTTTTCTAATGATGATCTAAAATTTATTTCCCTGTCCACTCATATTAAGTCTACATGAAACACTTTCAAATATTTCAAATAATATGTCTTGTCCTTCCTGGGTCTTCTTTCCTCCAGACTAAATAGCCTCTGTTCTTTTAGCCACTTCTGACATGGCTTGTTTTCAAACCCAGAGAAATTTGCCATCATCTTGATTACTTTTCCATCAGTTCCCCCCTCTGAGATCGTGGGGTCTGATTTTTCGTCTCACAACCCAACTGGGGTCTGGCCCAAAGCAAGATCATCATTCCCTCTTCTTACATACTATAATTTTGTTACCATTTCCCAAAATTGTCCTCCTAAACTGTTGAACTACGATATACTCCTTAGAAAGAAGGTATCCATGATAAAAATAAGTTGAGAAAGTACTTCATGTTCTATCCCTCTCTTGGAAATACATCGTGCTTTCAGCACATTCAAGCCCCCAAAATCTTGAATAACCCTGATTAATTTGTCATTTCCCACATGTATGAGACCCTCAAACCCTTTTCCATTCATGAAACTTACTAATAATTTGCAGAACGAATGTTCCACAGAATATGCCTTGGAAAGCACTGATCCACGAACGCAGCCTAAGATCGTGTTACACTTCTTTGTGTCACAGTTACCCCACAGCTAACACTGAGCATTCTGGAAGTTGACCCAAACTCCCTAGTTTCCACTCAAGCCACTTGTCCTCTCTCGAACTTAGAAATAACCAGAACTTGTATTGAAATGTACCGTGTTTCCCTGCTCGCCTTGTTGGGTCTAGCACCATATTTTGTCCTGACCAACCTGGGTCTACCTCTGAAGATACTTAGAGTCCATCCCAACCTACATGGCAGCCTTCTGGATCTTGGACAGCATTTTTAAGGAATTTATCTCAGCCTGCTCTTTACTAATATGAACACCCTGAAATGCCTCCCCTTACCATTTTTCTGTGCCCCGCTCTCACATCTTAGATGCCCCTCTGAGCATTGTAGCATTTGCCAATTTATGTGTTCATGGTTGGCTCTGCAAACGCACCTTGACTACTTTCTCCAGCCAGTCTGAGCTGGCACTTTAGACGGACAACTCTCAGCCTTTGAAATCGAGGTTCCTCTGTGGGTCTGTATCCTAAGGACGCATTCTTTTGATCATAGACCCAGATATAATTAATACCATTATCCTTCTCCAACAACCTCTGAAATGCCAGCCAGAATCACCTCCGGCCGCATGAAATCTTGGTATCGGTATTAATGAAAGGTTGCCGGATTTCCACCAAGGAAGTGACACGGTCCTGTTTCCACCATTAAAATCTTAACGTTCTCTGAGAAGTGGCCCTTGTGTGATGTGGCGTCACTATGAAGAAGTCTTTGATTCACCGGGTGCTTGGTTTTCCTCTCCCTCCTGCACCGCCTGGCTCTGATCAGAAAATCTGAGACACATTGTTTTGTTCATCAAAGAGTCTTTGTAGAGTGGGCTTTTCAGAACTGCACTTCAGTCCTTCCTCTGCTAGATCATTCATGTAAATTGACTTCTATCAGGACCAATTCCCAGTATATTAGGCCATGTTCAAACTGGGTAAATGTATTCCCACATCACTTCCCCCACGTGCTTCCTGCAGCTAGCGAGAATGGCTCGCCTGCATTTCATTAAGTCTTACCCGAGTGTCTGGGCATTTACTGCTAATGTGTGGCAAAGACCTAATGGTTTAAAGACTTTCCAGGGCCCTGAAATCACCTTCAAAATACAATAGCTCTTTGATATTTAACTCTTGCCATTTCATTCTTCTTATAAACCAGTCCTGGTTTCTCTGTCCATGTGACTGTCGAACTCACTTCCCCTCCATTAAGTTTGATGCATCTTGCCCATGGGCTTACAAAGCCAACCCTAAGGGACTCATCCCCTGGGTAATGTCCTTGCTGATAAACAGCATGTGTGTTACCTCTTTGGCAGGTGGTTCTCCCAGTCAGAACGTTGGGAGAAAACCACAATGGCAGTGGGGATAGTTGCTCATAATGGTATAGCACTAGGAAACCTGTTTTTTCTCAACTTCCTTCTGCCACCTTTCTTCCTTTCGAAGTCTCTAGCATTCAGGTTTCGGTAAGTAAGTATACAATGGAATACTACTCAGCAATGAGAAAGAATGAAATCATGCCATTTGCCTGAATGAGTGAAATGACTGAGTGAAATAAGTCAGTCAGAGAAGGACAGATATCATATGTTTTCACTCATATGTGGAACTTGAGAAACTTAACAGAAGACCATGGGGGAAGGGAAGGGGAAAAAAAAAACAGTTACAAACAGAGAGGGAGGGAGGCAAACCATAAGAGACTCTTAAATACAGGTAACAAACTGAGGGTGGATGGGGGTGTGCAAAAAAATAAATTAAGGAAAAGATTAGCTGCCTCTTTGATGCTCGGAGGGCACCTTGGTGGTAAGGAGACATAGATGCCGTATCTTTTTAATTAACTGAATTGTACTAGGTATTCATTAAACGTGGTTAGGTCTGCCCTGTGGGCAAGAATTAACACACAATAGGCTCATATCTTTAGGAAAATTGTGTACCATGTACACGCAGGGGGCTCTCCTGTGAATGAACCAGTCACCTAAGGATGGCTCATGGCACATTTTTCAGAAACCAAGTTCTCTGGGCTGAGCCTGTGAGGCTGGGGCTGGCAGCCTACAGTGGGGTGTCTCACAGGAAACAGGAAAGGATATTTTAGGACACTGCTGTGGATTGGGAAGCAGGACTTGTTGGAATGGGTGCGGGGGAGATGAGGCCACTGGTGCATGGACCCCTTCACCTGGCACTGGTCGAAGAGCCGCTGCTTAGCGTAATCTGTCCCTGTGTCCCCATCCATTCCTCTGCCCAGACATGGGCTCTACCTGTGTATGTGGGAAGGGTCCCTCCCACCTTCCGGTTTCGACTCTCAGCCCACAAGGAATAACAAACATCACTCGTGAATTCATGGAGCTAGTAAATGAATGTTAAACATCCACTTCATAGAAGCTTCTCAAGAAAAAGAAAGTGTTGGAAGCAGGACTGATACTTAATTTGCAGGGTGTGTTCAGAGAGAAAAAGCACATGAGGGGTCTTCAATCTGTATGGAACCAGAACTGAGTCTGTAAGGAGGGTCCTTACGCCTGTGTCCCATCACCAGGGTGTTGATGAGATGGTGGAGCAGACCCGAAGCCTAAACATATATTGCCATTTTGCAAATGGTATTGGTGAACCCAAGTACATGCCTGTACAATCGTGGGAACTTTTGACCCAGACTCTGGTGGAAGCCCTGGAGAACCACAACGAAGTCAACACAGTGATGGACCTGGTTCTCTTTGAGGATGCCATGCGCCATGTGTAAGTGTGCTTCCGTTCTTGCCTTTCCTCAGTTGCCTCGTCTTCCCAATGTCAGAGGTCTCATGTGGGCATTTGAGGACACCTCCCTAAAACCAGAAAAAAAAGCAGCTATGCGTCTGCCCTGAAGGTCAAGATGGCGGCCGGTAGAGCAGCGGCTGCAGTGTCTGCCACTGACCCTAGGGGGCAGCAGGATGCTGAACTCAGGCAGCACTGGATGTATTTCCTTGTGTGTCATTTACAATCCCTGGGCATGACCACAGTGACACCAAGGGAAAATTTAAGATCATAAAAGAGGCACCAGAACAGCTCAGAACCCATATCCCCACCCCATACCGGTCGAAGGGCCAACTTTAGAATAATGAGATTGAAGATTTTTGTTTACGTGCTCACAGGTTTCAAAAACTGAATACCCTTCTTAAATGTTATTGCCATCAAATGAATCACTGAGAGTAGTCACCAAGCCTCCCAGACGATGTATACTCACACCAGTGCTGTCCCTGTATTGCTCTACATTCCCCGGTTCAGTCACACCTACCATCCCTCCCTGCCTTCCAAAATCTTTCCACCCTGTCCCCTGGTACCCGTGCACTTCAGCAGCAAAACCCACCTCATCTTTACCTTCTCTGAACCTCCCCTCATTGATGATTCCGAGTGAAACCTCACTGACCCCTGAGTGGAGGAAAGCTCTTTTTGCTTCCCTGTTCTGTGTGCCCCCAGGATCTAGCGAGAACTAAGTACCCTCCTTCTCCCCCACCTCATTTCGATGGCACATTTAAACCATTTCTCTCTTTATCCTTTACAAACCCCACTTCTTCTAAAGCACTGGCAACCGGACATTCATACTCACCACCTCGCCTGTCATCTGCCAACATCCAGTTCCCCCCCCCAACACTTACCGGCTGCCTGGGTGCTTGGACCGTCTTCTCAACTACATCTTTCTCCATGGCTGGCATTGGTCTTGTTAATTCCTGTGGTTGTTTCTCCCATCCCCCACCTCAGCCACTCGCTCTCATGTTCCTACCCTCGCACTTCCATCATCGGTGATGATCCCATCTCCACCATTGCCATTTCGAACGTCCCTCTCTCTGACTTGTACCTCTTACCCTTCCACTCACCTGCTCTACTTCCCATTCCAGGTATCCTTTCTTTACCCAGTTTTATTGAGATATAACTGACGTATAACATGGTATAAGTTCAAGGCGTACAACGTCACGACTTGATATACGTGTATAACACAAAATGGTCATGACAATAAGATTGGGGCACCTGGGTGGCTCAGGTGGCGAAGCGTCCAACTCTTGTTTGGCTCTGGTCACGATCTCACATTTACGGCATCAATCCATGCATCGGACTGTGCACTGAGCATGGGGCCTACTTCGGATGCCCCCTCTCCCTCTCTCTTTGCCCCTCCCCCTTCTCAAAATAAGTAAATAAACTTAAAAAAAAAAAAGATTAGTTAACAGTCATCACTTCTCCTAGTTACCATTTTTTCCCCTTGTGATAAGAGCTTTTAAGATCTGTTCTCTTAGCAACTTTCAAATACACCACACAGCGCTGTTAACTGTAGTCATCGTATTATATCTTACATCCCCAGAACTCATTTATCTTCTATCTGGGATTTTGTATCTTTTGACCACCTTTACCTGATTCCTCACCCCCATCCCTCCAGTCTCTGGCAACCACAAATCTGATTTCTGTGTGTGTGCGTGTGTATGTGTTAGATTCCACATATAAGTAAGATCATATGGTATGTGTCTTTCTCTGACTGACTTCGGGTGGTGTAATACCTTCAAGGTCCTTCTGTGTTGTCCCAGATACAAATATTCCAGTTACTCTTAAACTTCATCAAGACTTCATTTCACGGAGCCAACCACTTTCGCAGACGCCTTTGTCCCTCTGCCTACCATGCCTTTTCTGTCCTCAGCCGTCATAGACTCCCATCATCCTGGTACAGGCTCCCCTAACTTTCCTGGCATAGCATCCACGTGACAAAACCCCATTCTAGTCAAACCCCACTGTCGTCTTATTCCACACCTGCCCCCTAAGCATCTGAAGATCGTGGAAGAAAAACCACAAAAGTTTTGGCTTGGTTTGCTTCATATTTTCAGCCACAGCTACCAAATGGGCCCCTAACGTTGTGGAAACTCCACCTCCCCTACCCTGGGCAGTTTGCTCTCTTGCCCTGCCTGTGCTAATTGCATCGTGTAGTTTTCCGTTCTCAAGCTTCCAGCATCCTTCTCCTCTCTCTGTTCCCAGTTAATGAGCACATGTCTTACTTCACTGCGATAGTGAAAGCAACCAGGAGAGAATCCTCTCATCTCCCCATCATCAAATCTAACAGCCTATCTTCATCCCTCCTGCATCCCACCCACAGATTGTGCCTTCTCTACTGTCTCAGCAAATGAACCATCCCTGTTCCTACCTGAGGCCAATCCCTCCGTGTGCATTCTGGATCCTGACTCTTACCACCTTCTAAGTGACTTTATTCCTTCTGAAATTCAATGATTCTTTCTCCCTCCTTCCTTCCCCCCACCTCCCCCTCCCCCCCACCTCCTCCTTTCTCCCTCTCTCTCTCTTTCTCTTCCCTCCCCTCTTTGCTCTTGTCTCCCCTTACCCCATCTTCATTGATTCAGTAATTGCTTCATCATATGCATCTACATACGAACATGCCAGATCACCCTTATCAAAAACAATAAACTATCCCTTCACTTTTACATCTCTTTCCATCTCCTACCCCCATTATTTTTTGCTCCTGTTCATAACAGCGTTCATCAAAGTGGTTGTCTGTGCTTGTCATACTTTCTCACTTCTCATTCTCTCCTTGACCCATTTCTTATCAATTGAACAAATAAGTTCTTATCAAAGTCACCACGGAGCCACCTCTTGCGAAAGTCAGTTGTCACTGCTGGGTCCTCACCTTGTATAACTTGCCTCTCTGCTGCATTTGTCATGATTAATCACTCTAGTTGTTTGCATCCATCCATCCCTCCATCTATCCAACCATCCAATCCCCCATCTATCCAAGCATCCATCCATCCAATATGTATCTATTGAGTAGGCATAGTATGAGTGCAGGGATCTTTGTTTTATTCACTGCTAGATCTCTAATACCCAGGATAGTGTCTAGAACATAGAAGATCAACAAAAATTCTTAGCATGTCATATGGCATAGGTGATGTAGAGAAAACAGGGAAGAGGGGACAGAGAGTCCTGGGGGCAGGGGGCTGATTGCAGTCTGAAATAGGATGGTCTGGAGGACCTCTCTGGGGAGGCAGCATTGATGTGACACGTAGGAGCCACCCTGAACACAGAACTCATGTGGGCCTAGTGCATGGATCTTTGCATAAGTCATTTCATCTAGTCTTCACAAAAACCCTGAAGAAAGTAAGGTCTGTCATCCCTCCATTACAAATGAGGAAGCTGCAACCCAGAGAGAGAAGAGAAGTTGCCTAGTGCCACACTCCCCAGAAACAGGTAAGCCAAAGCTTACACTAGGGCCCTGTGGCTCCAGCGTGTGTGATCTGGGCTTTCACACTGTGGTACTTGTTCATCTACTTTTCTTTCTCTCCCGGGCCAACGTGAGCTCCTTTTGCTCACGGCTGAATCCCCAGTACCTTGGACAGCGCCTGGTGCCTAGTAGGCGGCCAGTAACCAGGGTTTTAGGATATCTGTTCAGTAACCCTGGGCAGCTTCAGTGGACACGTCCCCTCCTCAGTAACAGCTCTCAGAGCCTGTGTCATCGTCTTGGAATTGAGACAGATCTTTGTCCTTTCAGGGTAAATTTCATTTGAGAGAAGAGCAAGTGAATTCTGTCAATGCGGTTTCCAACATGGGTGATCAAACTCACTAATTCTGTTTACGGGAAAAAACAAGGCTATGAAAACTGGCTTTTCTCCTGAGACTCCTTAAGAGGCTCCAAAGATGGCTTCCAAAGAGAATCTGGAGCTGCATTAGCAATAGCAAAATAACTGGAACAATGAACTGCCTTGAGGGAGGCAGTTCTCAAGATTAAAGTTTATTTGGATGTATCATTTCACATACATTTGTTTAAAAATATCAATGTCTCACGACTTCATCTTTGCACTGCCCTCCCCTCCCCTCCTCGGGCCCCTCACTCCCCTCTGCTGCCCCTACCAGCCAAATAGAGCAGAGGCATCCCCTCATGCCAGAAAATGGAATCAACAGTGAGAAACACAGACAACCTAAGAGTGACAAGATTTGTGGCCTCACATCACACCGCATGGTGCCCGGGGCAGAGGGGTTTGGATTCCCTCCGGGAGGTCCTGATACCTAGGGTGATACCGAGGGTGGGAACAGGGCGAGGCAGAGCAGGACGGAGGCTATGGCACTCCCTGGGAACCCACAGGGCTGGCGGGTGGAGCCAAGGTAAGGGCGTAGGTTCCTAGGTGCAATGAGGCTTATGCTCATTTTGATTCTATCATCCGGCTCTCGGTTCTCGCCACGTGAGTTCTCACCATTTTCTCTGATCTGGCTTCCCTACACCTTTCCCAAGCTCTGCTGCTAACTCTTCCTGCCTCCTTCTGTGCTGAACCCAACCATGGAGCACCGCATTGCGGGGATGGGCACAGGCTCCGAAGACAGAGTCAGACCCGCATTCAAATCCCGGTTCTGCCGCTAATTGGCTTCGGTATTTTTCAAGGGACACTGAACTTCCCCGAGCCTCAATTTGTCCTCTGGGAAGCGAGGATAGTAGGAATGCCTACGTCGTGCGCCTATGTTGTGGCAATGAGTATACAGTGCTTTGCGCTCAACACAGAGTCCGTAGGTTTAGTCTTTTTCTTTGTGCTGTTATGTCCTTAACGGTACCATTTTGCTCTCCTACTGGCTTTCTCTGCCGCCTCAGCAGATTCTTGTTGTGCCTTTCCTTAAAGCCTCACACCGGGTCTTTTCCCCTGCTTGTGGCATAACCTTAACGTTTTTCTTTGTTTATTGGCTCCCACATAGATTCTTTGTTCTGCCTCTTCTTTCTCTTAGCATCACTTGACAAAAAAGGAACTTTAGATGTACTTCTCTTGTGCCCCTTCCTTTGTGCATCCTGTCCATTCTCTAGGGCGTGAGTGTGCGTGGGGGTGTGCGCGTGCATGTGCCTGAGTGTGTGCGTGTGTCGGCTTCGGTGAGCCCGCTTCCTCCAGCTGTGCTGTGGTACATCTTTGGCTTTTGTCTTTAATCTCACAGAAATTCAGTAATGGGCTTAACTTAGACTCTGCTGGTTTGCTTGCCCAGGAGTCCTTCAGAATATTGATCCTCTTTTTTAAATTTTGTAATTTGAATGCAGAGTCCTTTGCCCTCGTCAGAGGTTGTTAATGAATCCCCAGCTGGAGTCTAATGCTGACAGTTGCAGACTCAACCGTTCTTCTCCGGAAACTTCAGCACTAATGATGCATTTCCCATTTAGATATTGAATAGCAGGGACCATGCAAAGCTGAGGTCAGGCCTTCCAGCCTAGAGGGGGTGTTGGGCGGCCCAGAGAACCCAGGTGAACTTCTTCTCCAAATAGAGGGCCTGGATATGCTTCTCCTTTCATAATTGCCGCCAGGCGCCCTCTAACATAGTCACAAAGCAGGTGAGTCCTTTCACCTCACATCCCCCCAGATGTGATGCTGACTGGAAGGTATTTGTTGTGCTATTTGAGTTTAACTAAAATTTATTAAATGCCTTCAGTGTGCTAGCATTATAGAGGATACAAGACGAGTTATACATGCACCTTCTTCCAGGGCCTCGAAACTAGGACTTAATAAGGGACCCAGAGAAGTGAAAAGCCATCTGATACAAGGGAGAGTATAAGTATCACAATTAAAGGATTCTAAAGGGGAAAAGCAAAATCATAAAAGAACTAAGGATAGGTCAGTAGATAATTCCTAAATTCTTAGGGGAATTAATTTTAACTATAAAACTCAGTGACTTATAATTTTAAGACCAGAAAGCTAGGATTTTCCACACATCAAAAAATACATTAAGACCAAAAGGTAAAAGTGACAAATTGGAGGGACATTTCAGAGCATACATACCTAAGGGGGGTCTTACAAATCTAGAACACTTCAATTAAGAAGTGGGAACTTGGGGTACTTGGCTGGCTCAGTCGGAGGAGTGTGCAACATTTGATCTCAGGGTTGTGAGTTTGAGCCCCGTGTTGAGGGTAGAGATTAAACAAAAAGACAAAAAGGGGGGGGGGGGCGCTGGACATGAAAAGGAAATTTGTAAAAGAAAAAATATATAATGATAAGAAAGATGTTCAGTTCCCTAAATAATGAAGAAATAAAAATTAATATTTTCAACCACGCAACCGGCAGAGATTTAAAAATATGTATATAAGACCCCGTGTCCACAAGAATGGGGGCCAGACTCTCCTATCGGCTGATAGGTGGGCATTGTTGACTGACCTGCAGCCCTGCTAGGGTTTCCTTCTCAGTAGCAAACGCATCCCACAGGAGACAGGAGGCAACGAACACCCAGAGACATTTAGGTTATCGACGCTGATTATGACCCAGTCATCAGTATGTGCCAGAAATTTTGCAATTAGTGAGAAAATCAAGCCACAGAAGGTTTAACCTCATATATGCTCATAGTTTGTTGACACGTCAAGCCCCAGAACTCTCCCCGTGCCCCAGCCTTTTTTCCAAATGGAGCTTAGCTACCCTTGGGCCTCTCCACCCCTGATTACCATTACTTAATGTGAATACGGGATTTGTCACTGTAACATCATGAACACAAGGTAGAGACACAGGCTTATAACCTGTGCTGTTCAATCTCAGATGTCCACTCTGCTGTGTTTGGTCAGACTCCACCTGAGGTCTTGTTCTGTGTACCCCTTCAGTTCCGAGGTCCCCAACACCTGTTGTCTCATCCTTATTTTACCCGTTTCTCCACCATGCCTTGGTCACTGTGTTACGTTTTCCCCAAATTTTTAACATATTCTAATTCAACTCACATGATCTAGCATAGGCTCACCTTTTGAAATAAGAGATCCACATTTTGATCCATCGGCTGGACCTAAGTCGACCGCAAATTGTTGCCCCCATTCTGGGGTCTGGGGCAGGCAGTTTTTCACTACGTATCAAAGGTCGTGAAAATCGCCTTACTGTTTGACTTGGCAGTGTTACCTTTTTTTAAGCTTATTTATTTATTTTTGAAAAACAGAGTGAGCAGGAGAGGGGCAGAGAGAGAGAGAGGGAGAGAGAGAGAGTTCCAAGCAGGCTCCACACTGTCAGCACAGTGCCTGATATGGGGCTCGAGCCCACAAAGGGTGAGATCATGACCTGAGCTAAAACCAAGAGTCGGACACTTAACTGACCGAGCCACCCAGGGGCCCCTTGGCAGCTTTACTTTTAGGAGCCCGTCCTGTGGGCGTGACAAGAGGTAGAAACTAAAAATAACTTAAATAGCATTATTTATGGCTGGAAAATGTTGGAAACAATCTAAATATCCAGTAGTAGTCTATTGCAGACAAGGAATTTATTCTATGCATTGGAATATTGTCCTACCATTAAAAGCATGGCCTAGCGGGGTGCCTGGGTGGCTCAGTCTGTTAAACGTCCAACTCTTGGTTTCGGCTCAGGTCATGATCTGGCTGCACAAAGCCTGCTTGGGATTCTCTCTCTTTCCCTCTCTCTCTGCCCCTCCCCGACTTGTGCCGTCTCTGTTTCCCTCGAAATAAATAAACTTAAAAAAAAAAAAAAAGCACGGTTTAATGATTACTCAGCAGCATAGGGAAATAATCACAGAACATCACTAAATGGAAAAGTGGTCTCAAAACACTGTTTAGTGTATGACGTGAGCCCAGTTTTGAAAACAGGATAGATACACATATTGAACTTCCACAGGTAATGGGTGTAGATACGCATAAATATATACTTACAAACATACAGAAGGGCATACGGTTAATGTCAATGGTGTTTATTGCTACCTAGTAAGTTGTAGCTTTTTTCTGTATTTTATGCATTTTTCACAATGAATAGTTATTGTTTTTAAGATGAGGAAAGCAAGGGGGGCAACCGGATGGCTCCGTCGGTTATGCGTCCTGCTCTTGGTTTCAGCTCAGGGCATGCCCTCCCCGTTCATGAGTTCGAGCCCCGCCTCGGGCCCTGGGCGGATGGTGCGGACCCTGCTTGAGATTCTCTCTCTCCTTCTCTCTCTGCCCCTCCCTTGCCTGTGTCCACGCTGCCACTCGCTCTCGCTCTCTCAAAAATTAAGTAAATAAATACAAAGACAAGGAAGGGAATGGAAACTATTGTCATAAAGGGTGTAGGTCCCTTGCATAAGGTAAGTACACAGTGCTGAGGGGAACGGAGAATGTGGAAGAGGGTCTGTGGATGGCCTGAAGGAAGGAGAGCATTTGCGGAAGGCTTGCGGGGCAGGCAGAGGAGGGTCCTCTGCAGAACGCAGTCTGAGCCCAGGGCCTGGGAACGTTTCGCCATCGCTGGGTGGGAATATGGTTACTGAGAGAGGTGAGCGTTGCTGCAAGGGGAAGAATCCAGAAGCCAAGGAAGTGGGTGTCTTGTGCCCCAAGAATCTCCGAGCGCTCATTGCAAGAGCATCCGTGCCTAGGGCTCCCCGTCATTCTGCCGACTTCAATTTCGCTCCTCCTTTTTAACAAATTTTTTTATTTTGTAATGTCTATTGATTTTTGAGAGAGAGAGAGTACAAGCGGGGTGGGGACAGAGGGAGAGAGAGAGACACTGAATCCAAAGCAGACTCCAGGCTCCGAGCTGTCAGCACAGAGCCCGACCCGGGGCTCGCACCCACAACCCGTGAGATCATGACCTGAGCAGAAGTCGGACGCTGAACCGACTGAGCCGCCCGGGCACCCCGTTGCTCCTTCTTTCTTAAGAGGAGCAAACAATTCTGTTCCCGCTTGTCCTCTAGCCTCCCCTGAATGTTTTTTCTTCTTTTCTCTTTTCCCTGCCCCCTCCTCCTGCCTGAAAGCACAGGCAGGTGAGGCAAAGCGCCATGGAGGTGTGGCAGTCAGGCCGGGCTGGGGAGGGGACGGAGCGTGAGTTGGGGTCCCCTCCCATCCTGCCTGGCTGCCATGAGCTCTTCCTCCACTGCCACCTGGTCACAGAGGGTTTGGCTTAAAGCAAAGCCGTTGACAACCTCCATCCATCCACGGTTATGCGGGGACCGTGTAACTCACGCTTCCTGCACCTCCGCTCACAGTGTGCCTCCTAGGAAGGTTCCGGCGCGGTGCGTGCTCCTCGCGGGAGGGGTCTGATCAGAGCCGTGGACCTTGCTCCTTCTCCGCAGCTGCCACATCAGCCGCATCCTGGAGTCCCCGCGGGGAAACGCTCTGCTGGTTGGCGTGGGTGGGAGCGGCAAGCAGTGTCTGACCAGGCTTGCGGCTTTCATCAGCTCCATGGACGTGTTCCAGATCACGCCGTGGAGAGGCTACCAGATCGCGGACTTCAAGGTGAGTGACAGCCCCCCTGCAGCCACCCACAGCTTCCTGTCCCCCTTCCTAGCTCTTCACGCGCCTCGCTTAGACCCTCCCCGTAAGGTTCTGGGCCATTCGCTTCTTGGGTTCAGGGCTAGGGACGTGAGGGGCTCTTTTCTCATTGGGCTCAGGTCTGCAGACCTCAGCTGCTTCAGCTCGGTCCCTGGAACCTCAGTTCTCACCGGAGCAGGGGCACATCTATGTGACGTTTAGCGCACGGCTCGCTAGCCCCTGTGGGAGGCTTCGAAGGAATTCTGACAGTCTGCCCAAGTTCTGTAAGACATCCATATTTTAAAGGAAAGTTCCTGTAACCTCCAGCTACCAGGAGCTTCAGTGACATTTCCTGGTCCCGACATTTTTTTTTTTCAACGTTTATTTATTTTTGGGACAGAGAGAGACAGAGCATGAACGGGGGAGGGGCAGAGAGAGAGAGGGAGACACAGAATCGGAAGCAGGCTCCAGGCTCTGAGCCATCAGCCCAGAGCCTGACGTGGGGCTCGAACTCACGGACCGCGAGATCGTGACCTGGCTGAAGTCGGACGCTTAACCGACTGCGCCACCCAGGCGCCCCTCCTGGTCCCGACATTAAGCACTTAGCAGCCACAATGCAAGCTCTGGAAAGTGGGGAAAGGCATTTATCCAGCCTTCAGAGGTCACTTTGCCCAGCCCCCTCCCTTTTGTACATGGTTACAGTAGAGGCAGGATTGGGAGTCCTGATGTAATATTATACCAGGACGCTGCCCGTACTGTCCCTGGGAGAATTCCCGCCAGCGTGGGGCCAGACCTACCCACCTGCCTTCAGATCTCTCCGCCAGTGGCACCCACTGCTGACTCCGGAGCCACACACACTCCAGCCTCTCCATGACTGGCTGGATCTGAGGTCATAGACCATGGTCACGTGAGACCAGTCTTCAGCGGTTCCCCCCCAAAAAGTGAATAAGTTAGTGCATATGAGAAACACATGTTCACAGAATGATCTAAGACAGCGGTTCTCTACCTCAACTGCATCCTGGAATCCCCTTCAAATCATGCTGGTACCTGCACCCCACCTTCCAGAAATTTCCACGTAACTAGTCCAGGGAATGGCCTGAGTGTCGGGACTTCTGAAAGCCTCCCCCAGATGGCTCCAGTGAGAGTTGAGAAGCCTTGTCTTAGCTAATTCCGTCAATGCACAAGGTTGAGAGCAGTCGATATTCAAGGAAGTTCACTAACTTTAAAGGGGGATTATATAGAGGACACAAAGGTGCTCTGCTGTAAAGAAATGCACGAGGCTCTTAGAAAAGGAGCTTTGAGTGGGGCAAGGGAGAAGAGCAGGATCAGAGACTGGCACCAAGCTTTGCGAGAGGGATACAGAGAAGGAACCGAGATTGACTAAGCTGGAAAAATTCAGGGCTTGGCATCCTAGCCCAAAACTTCATCTACCTGTAGTTTTGACTGGATGTAATTTCCTACAAGATGATTGTGTGTGTGTGTGTGTGTGTGTGTGTGTGGTCCCCAGTATATTTTATTCCAACATAAGGCTTTTGCTGGAGCGAGTCATGAGGACACAAGACACTGCTGGCATAAGATGTATTCATCACCCAGGTCGGTATCCCCAAGAACATGACTCCTCTGTCAAGGCCAAGAGCAGTTGCTTGCCTCCTGGGGAAGGTCATTCACTTGCATGATGATATGAGTAATACAGGTGAACAGGAACCATCTCTGTCCCTTTGGGAAGCTGTTAGCTCTTTGCACAAAGCAGGAGCCCCAGAGGCCAGTATAGGAGCCACAATGGTTGTAGAATTGAAGATCATCGCTATTTAATTTTACTCGTCCATCTCTATTGGGATTGAGGCAGGGAATGAGGCGTACTTTCCTTACTTTCAGGACAAGATGGCACTCCTTCCTACTTTCCATTGCTGCTTCACTTTATCTCCCATTAAAGTAGATAAGGAAATGGTCTCATTCCTAACGAGTGGCTTGGAGACCTCTTTCAGTAAGGCCGTCTTCCCAGAGATCTCTAATATTGATTGTTTCCACAGATGGACCTGGCCAGTTTGTGCCTGAAAGCTGGGGTGAAGGGTCTCAGCACGGTGTTTCTCATGACCGATGCCCAAGTGGCTGATGAGAAGTTCCTTGTGCTCATCAATGATCTCTTGGCATCTGGTAAGAAACCCTTTTCTCTTGAGTGTCTCTGCTAAATTCCCCCTGGCGTCAGAGTCACCCCAAGGTGGCCCAAGGTCCGGAGAGCTAGGCCATAGAAATAAGGAAGAAACTAGAAGAGGACTGGTTCATTAAGGTCCTTAGAGCTAGTCCTGTGCCTGGTATCCTGGCTCCTTCCATTGCAAAACAGGCAATAATCTTGGGGCTTTTTTTGGAACTAGATCTGATTATTGGGAAAAGAACATGTTAAGGGTCTGCCGATCTCCTGAGCCCAGGGGGAAGGTGCTATTCTCTTCCCGTATTCAAGAGAGAAACTAGATAGAATGTGTGCAATATTTCAAGTAGGTTAGGCATTGGCCAGAAGAGACACAGAATTTGCACATGCAAAACTTACGCAATAGGGCAAGATTCGTTTGCCAATTTAATTGAGGATTCAGAACCTTAGGCAAAGTAGAAGCAACAATAGATGTAGGATATCCCTAAAATGGGGGCACCTGGGTGGCTCAGTCAGTTAAGTGTCAGACTCTTGGCTCCAGCCCTGGTCATGATCTCACAGTTTTGTGAGTTCGAGCCCCCATCAGGCTCTGTGCCAGCAGCATGGAGCCTGCTTGGGATTCTCTCCTTCTCTCTCTCTCTCTCTCTGCCCCGTCCCCACTCACACTGTCTCTGTCTCTCTCAAAAAAAATAAATTAACTTAAAAAAACAGAATTTCCTTTAAAAAAAAAAGGGGGGGGGATATCTCTAAGCTGGTTTCCTTGGTTTCCCAAAAACTTGACAGAGGCTGTCCACTGTCCTGTGACACCATCAGTGCAAGAGAGGACTTCAGTGGAAAGTTCGATTCTGATACTTTACTGTCCTTATTTACTCAGGAATTCAGGAATTATGTGAACCATTCTGGGTTAAAAAAAATTATACACACACACATGCATGTATATAAACATAATGCAAGATATATATAAATGTATACACCCAAGAATGTAAGACAATATATTACTTAAATTATGCATTTACAGAAATTGGAGGTGTATATTTTTGCATTTATATTAATTAAACATAGAATATGCTTTCCTGGCTCTTAAGCCAAATTCAGCATCTGCAAAACTACCTCTTCATCAGGGTTAAGAAAACAAAGTCAATGCACAGATGTTCCAGAACAAAATTACTGCCTCTAGCTTTTCAGCATTTCAGAAAGCCCATGTATCCACAGTCCAACCCCTGGCTCTCTGACTAAATACTCTTTAGTTTATGAAATCCAAGAACCACGATCACAGTATATTTCTCCATAGTCTATCCCATGCCATATGTAATTTATTTCAAGGTGTCTTCTGCTATGCAGTCCCTAGGAACTTCACTGCTTCAGGATCATTGTCCGCTTCAAATTTTGTATGCTTCTATCCCACACCATTTTCCCATCACCCCTGAAGAACCAGTGGTCCCTGGTCCCCATCATGCTCTAGCAGACTCTGTGAGCAACCTTTGGATTGTTTCTGATGAGGAACAGAGTCCCAGGCTCCTTACTGTGCCAGCTCCAAGCCTCACACAGATTTCTACCATAAAGTTACCTTCATATGCAGGAGTTTGCCTTACTTATTCCTTTTCTCCTCCCATCCGCTCTCCCCATTCTTAGAGCCACCATCTTCTACGACAGTATTCCACCTACAACATTGCCTCACCTTTTATTATTTTACTAAATAACGAGAGTGTGTCCAGTGGCTCTCCCACCCTGCACCCTGAAGTCTAATTTCAAAGAAGGTGAAATTGTGCTTCCAAAAACTTACAGCTCTGGAGATACCAGGCACGTTGCCAGCCTCACCCTGTATCGCATTTGGCCCCATCCAGCCAGGTCACCTCCTCCTAAAATAATGTCTGAGACACAGAAATTGATATGCTTTTACCAGTTGAAATTTTGTTTCTCAATTAAGTATTTTTAATTTTTCATTTGGAAGGCAACTGTTTCTTTTCCAAGTTGAAATGAATTTCTGAAGCCCTGCTCAGTGAAAGCATAATGCAATCAGCTTGCTCCAAAGCCATGAAGTTTCAAGCTCACATTTCTCTTTTAAGGCTTCTGTATAAAAATAAGACTTACATACACGTGTTAAAAAGAGATGCAATTAAAAGTAATGCTTTTCTAATATTCCTCCCTTTCTTCTTAACCACTTTGACAGGGAGAACAAGAGGCTATCTCAGTTCTAATTTTCCCTCTCAACTAAATAATTGCTAGAAATTAACTGACTGCCAGTCCACAGAGGGCTTTGGGAATTCCTCAGAACCTCCCCATCCCCTTCATGTTTGAATTTTGTGGGGTTGTGCAATCACTCCACTCTTGGATAACACAGTGCAAACTGTAACACTATGTCAGGCTACCTTGCCATGAACTCCTCCCTCCATAGTTATCCACAAGTCCTGTTAGTTTAGAGATATAAAGGTACAGTGGAATGTATTACACTGATTCAACCCTCCCCAAAAACACCTTTCTCAATGACCTACTAATCTCACGCCATAGGCTATCTGGCTTCTTCCCACATATATTTTTTTTTGAGAGAGAGAGAGAGAGAGAGAGAGAGAGAGAGAGAGAGAGAGAGAGAGA